GTGGCCCACACATTGGAACACAACCACCATTAGCATGATTAAATGAGCATCAAGTCATTAAAGGGGCACTGCGTCCTGAAATCCCCGAAAAATTTAACGTTTTGGATTGTTTACTTATCCTATTTCAAACATCTGGTTGAAAGGAAACCAACCTAATTAATGTCTTACCGTTCCCGAGAAAAGACGAAAAACACCCTGACTGTTCACATCCGCGGACACGACGGAGTATGATACATGTTTCCTGTCGTTTTCATACAATGTACGATACACGTTGCGTGTGTCAAGTATTGCACACAGGACGTACACGCAACCCGTGCTCACGAACAGCGGTGACCAATCACCAATGCACAAAATGTGATTTCTTAGACGTCCGCAAAAGGCGAACTCTTACGGCTGGAATCACAACTAGCATGAACAGCCCGACTTTTTGGGTCGCAAAAGTGGACCCCGAAAGTCGTTCTCGCACGAATAACAGAAGAATACTACAGAAGCGCCCAGTTTATAAAGGATAGTTGTGTGGATGTTTATGTCCTACTTTTAAATGCTCTTTCCGATTAACATGAGTTCTTTCAAATTGTGTTTTGTAGCCCAATTGGGCATATTCCAGGATGCAGTGTCCCTTTAACCCTAGCAGTCCTGAATCCTGCAAGTTTAAAGGGAATATACCACCTTTGCTTTTGCTGTAATTTCCAGAAATGGATGGATTTGGGGGAATAGTATTTTTATGTAGCAAAATATTGTTATGCTGACTTGTTTGAGGTTCTGTTTTCTTAAATACTGGAAACACCAAGAAAAACAATCAAGAAAAACAGTCTGGTTCCCTGACCCCACTTAAATTGAAATGGAACAATTAATTGACATCAAGTTGTTTCATAATAATTGGGTAATTTTGATTGTTGATGTTTGCAAATGTTGTATATTCCCTTTAATATGATTTCCACACACCCTAGAAAGGCATATAGGATCATTTGCATTTATCCCACAAGAAACCTACCAAATTATTATCAAAAAGCTTACTTGGATTTAAAGATGGTACTGGTATTAAAACCATGTGGTATTATTCCGTCTGGCTTGCTGTCATTTAGAAGAAATCGAGTAACATACATGTAGGTGATTTCCAACGATCAGACAATTGACTGATTGATTTTTGGAAATAAAGAGTGCTTAAAATGACAAAATTGTTTTTCGTGATCAAAAGGATGTGCATGGTTTTTCACTGATTCATCCGAAAGTGTAACATCCACCGAACTGAAACTTCAACAGGTTAGGTTTTGAACATTCTTCTTTGGATTTTGAGTGGTGTTATTATTGGAAACAAACAGAATGCATGAAAAGCAAATGATCCTACATACATATGCCTTGAATTTAATGAAGAAAACTGCGTTTTTATCGCTTTTATCGGTAGGCATCTGCATTAACTCTGCAACCCTCCGAAACTATGCTTGTATTTTGGTTTCACTTTTGCGCACAAACAGATCCGACTTGTGAGTAGACCGGTCCTGGTCCCTACATTATCAAGTCTGATAGGGTGGCGGGAACCAGTTTACCCTGCGAAAGCTCAATGATGTCGAGCTGCAAATAATTCGAAAAATATTCCATAACTAAACGTGGGAGTATTTTTTTCGTGTGATCTTTCATTCGAAGTAGACAAGTTTTGTATTGCAAGGAAAATAGCAATTTAAAAATCAAATCTATTTTTTCTCAGGTGAATCTGAAAATCAGCATGGGGAGAGCCGAGAGCAGCTTTAACAGAACTGAACAGAATCGTCAACAAATCTCGGCGGCTTACACTTCAAGAGATAGAGTGTCAACCCATAGACTTTGGGGACATTCGGGTCTCTTCTGGGGCAGAAATGACAATACCGATTGCTAAATGGGGCATTTCTATAGAATAGATTTGAAGAGCAATCTCAGGCATTCCCCCCCCCCTCCCCTCCCTTGGGCACCGCAGATGACATTTTGAAGAATAAGGCAAAGATACAAGTACATACCATACTAACGAAGCAAACTGCTTGGAAAGACAAGACATTTACATTTTTAGTGGTGGGAGATATCAGAGATTTCAAAATCCGGTTATCCTAATTTTTTTTTTAAACCAAAGATCGATTATCCGATTTCACTGGAACTTTCCATTTCACATTCACGCTAAAAAAGTGATGAGTGAGATGCTGCATGCAATGAACTCCAGAGCTGTAATGGTGACAAAAATGGATGGGATCCCTCAGTCAAATTAGAAGGCTACTCACGAACCAAGAAAACCACTAGCGAGTGGATGCGGTCACAATCACAGACTATGGAGCAAATTGGGAGATGTTCCACTTATTTTCTGTACCTTGTGTCACCAAAAAAAAAATGGAAGGCTCAATTTTTTTTAAGGTTGGTTTTGAATGTCCAGTTACAAAAGTCAAACCAAATAGTAGAAAAACCGGATATCAATCCCACCACTATTAAAATTATCAAGGTACATGTACTGTACCAGTACATGTATGCAAACATGTAACACTGTCCATGCGAGACTATGGCCTCTGTGTGCGAACTAGAGAGGGCGCTGTTTGACCACTTCGGAGAGCCCAGTGGACGGAACATGCCATGTGCGCATACTGTACATGCCAAAAATATACATCCTACTGTTCTGTATATTCAAGTCATGCAATAGTTCATGGTGGATAAGACAGTAAACGCTGACCTTATAATTCCCCCCCCCCCCCCAAAAAAAAAAACACCAGAAATAATTATATTTTAAGGACAAAAAAGGGCTTTCCATGACCAAATCCTCCGCAGTTTCGGCATCTTCGGAGCCTATTGACAATACACTGGCCAGCCATCACACTGAGGCAAGGGACGCCACTCCCTTTCGGCCTTCCAGTTTGACACAAGACCACTGAGCACCCCAAAAGCATCAGAATGGTGCATTAAACATGCAACAAGAATAGCGCATACATGCATTTAAAGAGGACGTACTTCGAACTGTCAAAATGCAAAGTGGAAGACGTATGGATTGTGCAGCATTCCGTGACTTTTTCCTTGGAACAGTAATAACTTTCAATGACTGATTGTATAACAAAATTCTATGACTTTTTCATGACCCTCCATGATTGCTCTGAATTTCAGGAACCACTTTGTTACTTTCTTTTCCTCAATACCTTAAGCCTTTACCAAATCTAACGTCCCACCAGAACAGTTATCAACCTTGACAGACACATAAATGCAATATCAAAACTTGACCTTACATTTACAATGTACCACCAATGACTGTGCAATATACACGTCTATGCCTACTCGACCACAATGGGCAACACACATTAGAGTTTCAAGGTACGATTCAACCTACAATGACTATCTGCAACATGTTTGAACATGTACTGTTGTACATGTAGCTAGACACTCTTTGTACTCAGTGTTTACTTTCTTCATAAACCACACAGAAAGGTAGCGCCAAACAAAAGGCATCCAGGTACATACAGAGATGTGTTGCACTATTTTGTGGTTTAGGCCTACTGCTGTGACCACAAACTACAGTCTACAGACTTTCAAGGTCACATGGGATGCTTCCTTAACCACAAAACAAAATGTTTGGAGTTTTTCAGGGCAACAGTGTACAGTAGGGATCACTGAACTGATAACCCGAGGGGCTCTACAGCAGTACTCAGAAACTGTACTACGTGCAAATTTCTTAAGCCTAACCAACCCTAACCCTTCAAAATCCAACTGTTTTTGTTGGAATCTGTTGGAGTGAGTACTGCACTAGTAAACTGATTATGCTTTACATGAAGTCAGGCATATAACCATAATCAGAGTCCAACAGTTTGGGTGTTGAGTTCACCATTTAGTGTTGGATTTTACAAGAGTGAGGAAGGTTCCTAGTACATCACCATAGGGGTTAGAGTTAAACTTTTCCTGGAAATGATCGTGAAGTACATGTACAAGTCTTCAAGTCTTTATAAAATACGAATACAGTATGGTTGGTAGCAAGTTTCAGTTTTATCACAGAGATTACTTCGGTTCTAACCAACTTGTGACAATTACAGTTACATGTAAGGGTTTTACACACATTTTTTATGCCAACAATGGAAATGCCAGTAAATTTTCAGTCGTCAAAGTATTTTTTCTTCAGCTGGTTCCATGCATGAACATTCAAAAACAAGAACTGGTGGGTAGTCGGAAGTGAACGGAAAATTTCAAGGCCTGATCTTGAGGCCTTTTCTACACTATCGTCTCAGCTACCCGGGTTGAACACTGCAATTTTGGGAACCCTTTCAGACCAGCAAGAATCCAACAAGGCTTCTACACAGGTAAAATTTAACCCTGGTCAGGACCAAGGGTCGAGAGGCTCTACCTGGGTAGAAAATCCAAAATCCATACCTGACCCGTGAAAATGCAAGTTCATACTCGGCGCGAAAGTGAATGCAAATTTGCTACGTCACAAAATTTGTTCATACTGCAAATTACCAAGTTGAACACATTTTCAACTCCGGCGAATTTCACTGCGAATCCATTTGCGACATCCACTATGTCTCTCTCGCAAAGACGGCCATCTCTGTAGGAGACCTACAAAGTTCTGCATACCGGTATTTTACGCAACCAAGCACGCATTGCGCAGTGTTGAACATGTTTTAAACACGCGTGCTTGTTGTTCGAAATACAATGCAGCCGATGCGCATTATGTAAGTTGACGCTGCAAGTGGCTGGTCTGAAGGAAATGACGTCATCTGAGAGAGACCTAATGGCTTCGCATCCGCATTCGCAAGACCAATCGGACCCGTGTACAATCGGACCCGATTCTGTTCATGATGGACAAAAAAGGCTAAGTTGAACACATTTCAACATCGACGAATTGCGTTGGGAATCATTTGCGATGTCCAATTCGCTTTGCATCCGCATGAATAATCAGACCCAAGTACGATCAGACCCGATTCTCCTCATGGTGGACGAAAAAAGGTTATATGTGTATGCACATGAACATGTAAATCTGATATTCTCAAGACAAGCTTGTTCCTTACCTTTGATTTGACTGATGAACTGCCACCAGCCGTCTCTCTTGAGCGCGTGCCTCCACCGAGTGCCTTAGGTACTTTGTAAATGCGCCCATCCTTCAAAAGTTTGCCGTTCCCGGCACCTTTTTTGGCCGCGAGCCTCAACTGCGACGTGAGCTCGCCGTGATTGATGTCGGCGTGCGATTGCCGAATGAACCGCTCAATGCTCTTCAGGGTCGAGCCGCTGTCGCCCAGACTCACGATGGCGTTGTGCATCAACTTGAGCATGTTAGAGTTCCGGTTGGCGACCGTGGTGGCCGCCGCGGGGCCGCGCCGCTTCATGGCGCTCCGCGCGTCCCCATCGCGGTAGGACGCGATCCCTTTATTGATCACTTTGGCAATGTTGCCATCCTTGACGCTGAGATCCAGTTGTTCCAGCACGTGCGCCTCGCTCAGTCCCCTACTGGCGTGGACGACATGGCAGATGCGATCCTGCGACGGCCTCTGCTTCTGCTTTTTTATCTTAGAGATGGCATCCAGGATCCACTGCGTGTACTTGGGATTGGCGAGGCACGAATCACTATCCTTCACCATTATGCCCGGCGATCACAACCAGTTGCTACCGGCATGCATAGCTTATATTTCCACACCACTTATAATCACATTGCTTTGTACTCGTCGCCAAAAGCAAGCGTAAGCATCCTGGCTTTTAAAAATACTCCAGAGCAGAATTGAATGCCTTCCGAATACACTCACTGGCAAGGTTCATCAAAATTGGCTACACGCACAGTGAAGTTCTAAACGATCCTTTGTTATGTTCCGATTTGGGATGAGGCTCACTTCCTACTTTTCGCAACCAAACCTGCAAAAAGAATGTAAACCAAACTGTGTTCAATCTGACAAATTAAAAGTCACAACTAAATGTAACAAATCGTGAAACTCCCTGCGAAGTATTTACCGCATTGCAAAGTTCACATGAGGTGTGCAAGTGTTTAAAGAGTTGGCTCTAGACTCACAAGTTTCACACTCTTGAACTTTGTTTTGGCCGACTGCTGTCAAACTGGAGCAAGCATGATGGATGGCGCGCCAAATCTCTGAAGTATATTTTTGCCATGACCTTAGTGGGGTCGAAGCTGTATTCTTTCCGAGCGGGACCCTTAGGGAGGAAACGTCGTTGATGGAGCAAGAAATGCCAGATCTTGCAACATGTGACCGCAGAAGACATTCATGTACAAAAAAGACTGTTGAATTTATTTAACATCGGCGGGAACGGAATCAAGGGGCCAATTTCACGGCACTGCTCGTAACAGTAAAGTTGTGCTAACTATAGGTTCTGAACGTATGGCATCAAAGTACCAAGTGACCGTCTGGTTTCCCGTGATCGGTCACCATTGCAGTAGGCAAGCGTTTGGCAAGCATCCACGTAGTATGTTGTAATCTAGACAATAGGACTTATTTTTTATCAAATGGCATAATGGTCACTACCTGTGACATGTACGGTTGTCATAATCGTGCCGGCCCAGAACTGGGTGTTGGCTCCGCGTTTTTTCTCACAGTTTTTGCCATCCATCACAACATTGAATGCTTGCCTACTACCAACTGCGCACGGCACTACACGATCTTAGCCTACTACAATGGTGACCCTGACTGTCCGGACCCCGGACATAGGCCGGGTCACGTACGTCAGTGAGAGAACCCCAAAGCCAAATATTGGGCTAATCTTATTCAGGGCATGGATGTGCTAACGGTTGCGCGTGCATGGATATTTCTATCGTTGAGTCACTGAATTCAGATTTTTTTTCTCCGAGGTTAGCATGCCTCTTACTTTGCTTATAGTTTCCGTGAAGTAGACGTCAGTCTCGTATTGCTTGTAGGCCTATTGGAGTTAATTTTGTGAAAAGTTACCACGAGTGACTGTGAACATTCCATCGTGCGTAAACTTTACCGTACCGTGCTCCTTCAGAATCTTAGGAGGGTGCCCTGCGATTTACCGGATGTGGTTTGTGGAAAACTGCACCAATAATATCGCAGAACACAGCAGAAATATTGAGAATCTAACGTAAAGTAAATACATCTACTCTTCATTAAATGGCGTACGTGTGAATTACTGGGGTCAATATTTGTGACCAACACGAAGTCACATGATAACAACACTTTTTAGTGATGTAAAACTAACAATGTAATTCGTCTGTGACCCAGGTGACCCTGTCAAACTTGCCGTTGCAGAACTTAAAATTTACAATTGACAGTCAACTCTTGACATATTAGGGAGGTTATTCTGTGGCATGAAACAATGAGAATATTTCAACTCCCCCCCGATGGGATGCTAGTCCATCGCAGGTTACTCCCCAGCTAATGCCGGTACCAATTTGTACTCCTGGGTGGAGAGGCATGTTAGATAAAGTGGCTTGCCCAGGGACACAACACATGACCAGCAGCTGGATTTGAATCCCTGACTCTCTGATTATGAGTCACGAACCCTAACCACTAGGCCACACTCCGCACTAAGTGATACCGCAAAACGTTAATCTATTTTTCAATAACTATAATCTTTACAAATTGACTACCAGTATTTATTCGAAACCACCACCCCAGTCGCCAAACAAGATAACTCATACCTTGCAACATGTTGTAAATGATGGCAAAGCGCCCTCTATTGATGGACACTAGTGCCTACTACACAGCATGCTCTTCAGTTTTACTATACAAACTGGGAACATACATACAGTGAATTCTGGTTTTCCGGAAAGACTTTCTGTTAAAATGAAGATAGTGTTCCTACTTACCGTAACATATGTGAGGAACAACAAATTAAAGATTTTCTGATTTGATGAAGTCAACAAATCGTGTCTATCTCTTCAGAACTGTCCTGAAAAAGGAGCATAAAATGTAGAAATTAGGAAATGAAAACAGCGCTCATACAACATTCGGGAGACAGTATCTTTGTGATCGCGTGGTAATGTTTGGGAGGGGGCAGATTTGTTGAAAATATATCCCATCATGCACCTAGCACAAAATGGCATATGGGACATAGTTTCGATGAAGTGCCCCCCACAGATTACCACATGATCACAAAGATGGCGGTATCCGTACAACGGTCTATGGACATTTGCCATTAGAAAAGCAAGGAACTTGCATACTAAAACAAAAACAAACCAAAATTTCCAAGCCTTTCATCATAAACACACAGTCTTATATCAAGAATACATTGTAAATACACAAGAACATGTACAACCAAGTTGTATGTTAATCATGGCAATGACATGTGTACATGTAATTTTGTATGGTGTCTTACACTTCACAATGAATCATCATTACAAATATATGATGCAACGGAAATTTTTTAGATGTGTCATAATATTTCAAATTTGTAGTACATGTATGATGTACATGTACATGAGCAACCACTTTCATTATGGGCATGGTGTTACTTTCAGTTGCACATGTGAAGTTTACATGTGAGACAGGTCTGCCACAACATGGATGCTGATTACATTTTGTACATGTACATGTACTACAGATGTACATGTACATGTACGTATATATGTGTACAGGATATAAAGGACTGAATCAGGGGCTGATCTGGGATTTTGCTTCGTCACGTTTGCGAAGCATACATCACCACAACACAATTTTGTAAAAATCTTTTACGACAATTTTCTGTTTTAGTAATTAATTCAAAATTTTCATTCCCGACAATGCCTCATGAATACGGTTCAAATATTTCACAAGTCTCCACTAAACAGGGTTGATTTGCACAACTTTTTTGGTAAAATAAGCATTTTCTAATGGCGAATGACATACATGCATGATATACGAATAAAAAGTTCTAGTTATGGAAACAGGTTTATAATGTAGGCAAATATTTGAACATTACTCCACTAGAATATGTCATCTTCAAAATTGTTTGAACGCCATTCAAATTTTCAGGTGTTAAATTTTCAAATCATAAAAGAATGTAATTTTTGTACTCGCATGCACATAATTATGAAGGGTCCATCACATTTCATTTACATTATATTCATATTTCATACTCTTACATTATCATGATAATGTGGCAAATCTGTTCAAATGTTTTGAAGTGCCATTGCACTGCAAAGTGCAATCTGCAAAAGTGCAAGTGTTAACTTTATGTGAGAATGGAGCTCATTTTCAAATTTTAATTTGGAACATGTGGACATTTTTAAGGTTTATTCTGATCAGGAAAACTGCACAAAAGACAGCAGAGTAGCAATGAGTGTTAAATTACTTGCAAAAATATTAGGAAACCAGTTTTACCACTATAAAAAAAATCAATGCACGTTTCTTCATTCCATGTTTGTGATCATCGTGTCATGGCTAGCTCAGTAATGAATGGCGCACACTCCAAAATATTCAATGTGCCAACGAAATCGTACGTCAATATCACTGGAAATACTCATTATCTCGAGGACTTAACACGTCGGTCGCCATGGCCGTGGGCACTCTATTGAAGTTAACGACCATCCCGAGCAACAAAGGTATGCATGGGATCACCTCCACTTAGCGAAAAAAAACAAAGCAATGTTTGGTTCCGTTCGATAAAAATAATAAATTGTTCACCGTGTTACGTGCACGTACTAAACGCATGACGTACGGTGTATTTGGTATTCAGTGTGTGACAACTTACGGCAGACGATAAAATCGCTGACAGAAGGCTTCGAATCCAAGCTCAATAACCGTCGCCATCTTACATCAAATGGGGTCATATTTACATGGTTGAATCCAAACAAAACGATTTTTGAATTATATTTCAAAGACGTAATAAATCTGCACTCAAGCATGAAAACGACAGAAAATTGATCAATCGCCCCTTGTAACTTTTGTCGATACGGGTAATTTGGCTATACGCCACTGCTTGCAAACTTGCTGTACGAATAACAGATAGGGTAAGGAGAATTTAATTCCGATCAATACAAATGTGATCACAGAAACCAATTATCTTGAATTTTCAGACGACAATTTTCACAAATATGTTTTCAAATTAATTACAAAATCAGAGTATTTCATACTTTGAATGATTTTTGATATATGAAACCGTAGAAATATAATTTCGTAAATATTTTGATTTAAATTCTTTTAACTGAAAATGGCCAAGGATGATCCGCCGCACGCCTACATCTTTTGTATTACGCAATATGATTGGACAAGCGAAGATCAAAACATGATTTGATTGGCTTATTACATATTCTGGTGAAATCTGCGTCTACGTTTCATCTCACAGCTTTGTCCCTTGATGCTCTTTTAAAACTGAAGAAAATAAAACAAACGTTTTTGCTTTCTCACGATAAATCAGATTTCAGCAGTGCTCTAGAAAATATAATAATCGTGGCTATCATACACATCCATCGCACACGTATCCGATATGAAAACCACATTTCCAAGAATAGTGTTTTTATGCCATTCTCATGCCAGCAGGCTAGCCAACAATAATATTCCTTATCTGGAAAATGAACGGCACCATGTAAACACGCAAATCCAATATTGAGGGCGCTGTTTATAAAATATGTGACAGATGGTACAGGTGTTTTCAGACCTCGGTCTCGCCTGGAGTTCGCCTACAGGGTATTTTTTTATAACTCGCAATTACAGAATTAACAAATGTTTGTTCCAAAGGCACACTAATATTTTCTCCAACTGTGTTTTAAAAAGGGGCCATAAAGCTGAACAAAACTGATCCTTTTCTACTACAGAACATTTTTTCCTTCAATTATTTCTGGACATTTGCAAAGCTGTCTGCAAAATAGAAATTGGTTTAGACACTTAACTTTTATTTCTATAAACTTACATTCTGCACAACATACAAGATTTACAAGAAACATTTCCTATTATTTTACATTTCTAAGTTTCAATTGAGATTTTGTTTTCAAGGGAGTTATTGCTATTTATTGCTTTGAACAGATTTCCAAACGACAATTGCATAGATATGTTCTTGATGTACACAAAACGTGCTTGAACATGAATGAAGACTAATACGTTTTTTTCCCAGATCATTTGAATATATATTCTGAACCATGGTGGTTTAAAAGGAATATCCCCCCCCCCCAGTTTGTCCCAAATTAATACTTTTCCCCCCAAAGTCCTAAGAAAAACACTCTTGCACAATGGACCGATCCAGTAAGCTCCGCCCAGTGCGCACGTGGGCAAATTAACACGTGCTCCTCTCCAATGCCACGCTGCATTTTGCTTCCGCGCGCATCATACGCGCGTGCTGCACGCATGTCGGACTTTTGTGCACACACGTCGGACATAAATCACGGCTTTGATTGGTCAGAACACCATGGGGCGGTGCTTACTGGATCGGTCCATTAGCCAATGAATAACTTTAGGAATGTCAAATAGGGTTGTAGTGCAGGGTGGTCCCCCCCCCCAAAAAAAAACACGGAATGGCATAATTCCACTACCTTGAGACTCAAACCACCTGTACCAATTGATGGAGAATCCTTTTAGACGAATTATGATACCAAAATATCCCGTTTCGGTCCAGTACTTTTTGCTGCAGAGCCTATTTTGTGAAGCATACTTCTTTCATGTGGGTATTATTACATAATCCCTCTCATCCCGACAAATATGACCCCACCTTGCTTCACAAAACAGGCTCTAGAATAAAAACTACTGGACCGAATCGGGCGATCTTGGTTTTATTTTTCTTCTAAAAAGATTCTCCATGCATTGGTATATGTGGTTTGAATCTCAGGGTAGTAGAAGTATGCCATTCCAAGTTTTTTGTAACCACCCTGTATAGTTACGGAAGTATCAATTTACATTGGTCTTTCTATAAATTCAGGGTCTAAAGTGTGACATTTTTTCCTGCCCGTTACCCTGGTACTTTGTAATTTGCCATTCAAGTATCATTAAGAATGACTTCAAATGATTGTTTATTCGTTGGGTAGGGAGTTTGCTATTCATAATCACTCTTGGAGGACGACTGCATTAAGGAGTGCATCAGAATTATAAAAATCATAGATGTCGGATGTAACAGGGACAGGAAAAAAAAGGACCCCAAATTTATAGAACTGCATCCCTAAGCAATAGTTGCTGCAAACGCTCAAACTTTGTCAAGTACTTATTGCCACCATATACATGTACTTCTTTTGAACCGTCTTATAACTTTATTGAAAAATCATACAATGAAACAAAGAAATAATTGTTTGTGCGATTTTAATGCTGAAAATATTGGAATTTTCGATTTATCAAGAGTGATAAAACATGCTTTCTCGTCATTAAAAAAAGGTGTCTATAAAATGTAAGCCTATAATTTTGTCACCCGACCTTGTTTTTTTTTTTTAAATCAGACTTGTGTTCGAATACAGCATTAAGGGCATAGTGTTTGTGTCCTTAAGCAGGAGACATTACTTCAATTGCAACAGACATAGGTGTTGGCCGGGCAAGTGCGGTAAGTTGTGCGTTGATGAGAACTTTATTGGTCAATTTATCATAAGTAAAATGCCTGCTTGAACCAAATCAATATATTTTTTTCTGTGCTTGTGAAACTAAGGGCTCTCACTTTTAAGTCACTAAAATATAATAAACATGAAATAATCGAGCTATGGACCTAAAAGAAAAATGCAAAAAAAAAGGCCTAGTTACAAAGCTGCATGGAGGTGAATTGTTACTCAAATAAAACAGAATCGTATTTCCATATTTTTGAGCTGTAACAACATTTTCTGGTTATGGACATTTGAAAAATCACTCCAATTCAAGCATTCTTTTGCAGTTCCTCCGAGTTTCAAATGTGAAATGAAACAAAGACTTTACTTCCAAAACGCGATAAATCCATTTGGAAAAAAAATTGGAAAAGTTGAATGGTTATTGAGACTTATAAAAAAAAATGCAAAGTGTAACGGGTGTTTCCGAACTACATTTTTTGCATGATTGCATTCGTAAACATTGTGTTTAACTATATAACAGTTGTCAAAACTGACCTCCAGCAACCTAGAGAGGGCGGCATTCTAAAAGGTAATAAAATGCGTTATTGCGTTTTGGAAACAAAACTCAAAACTACAACAAATGAAAAATAAAATTAACAATTCGACATTATTTCATCATTGATCTTATGAAATGTAATTACTACTGTCCAGATCTGAGAATTTGGAACATGATTTCAGCTTTATTGGAAGTCCGATTTTCCGTCGAATGAGATTCCGGAGCGCTGGATGATATAATTTGCGGCGTAGTGAGCGCAACGTATGCATTCCGCCACATCTTTTCCTTGCACTAGCTGGGCCAGGAAACCTGAAATGAAAAACGAAACAAAAATCAACAAAAATGTATTATCAAACAAGACAATGCCTTGTAAAGCCGGTCCCAGATTGCACCACATTCTGTTCAATTGAATTAGAATGGCTATTCACTGGAAGTCTTTTCGTACATCAGGTTTAAACAATTGGCTGGATTTAGCCTGTTACTGGGTAGTCCCATACAATAGCACTGCCCGGCTGTCTTTACAGCCAACAACCAAGCTAGGTGACAAGTGACGGTAGTTTAGTCAGTCAGTAAGTCCCAAGTCAGTAAAAAGTCAGTCGCAAGTCAGTCACAAGACAGTCGCAAGTAAGTCGCAAGTCAGTCACAAGCCAGTCACATGTCCAATCAAAAGTCAGTGAAAAGTCAGTCAAAAGTTATTCATAAGTCAGTCACAAGTCAATCACAACATCCCAAGTCAGTCACAAGTCAGTCGTCAATCACAAGTCCATCACAAGTCGGTCACAAGTCAGTCACAAGTCAATCACAAGTCAGTCACAAGTCAATCACAAGTCCATCACAAGTCAATCACAAGCCAATCATAAGTCCATCACAAGTCAATCACAAGTCAGTCACAAGTCAATCATAAGTCCATCACAAGTCCATCACAAGTCAATCAAAAGTCAATCACAAGTCAGTCACAAGTCAGTCACAAGTCAGTCACAAGTCAATCACAAGTCAGTCACAAGTCAGTCACAAGTCAATCACAAGTCAATCATAAGTCCATCACAAGTCAATCACAAGTCCATCACAAGTCAATCATAAGTCCATCACAAGTCAATCATAAGTCCATCACAAGTCAATCACTAGTCCATCACAAGTCAGTCACAAGTCAGTCACAAGTCAATCACAAATCAGTCACAAGTCAGTCACAAGTCAGTCACTAGTCAGTCACAAGTCAGTCACAAATCAGTCACAAGTCAGTCACAAGTCAATCACAAGTCAGTCACTAGTCAGTCACTAGTCAATCACAAATCAGTCACAAGTCAATCACAAGTCAGTCACAAGTCAATCACAAAATAGGGTGCCGAGCTATTTATAGATCAACTTTGACGTTTCTCATACCTCCAACAAAGGCATCCCCGGCTCCGTTGGTGTCCACGATTTCTTCTTCCTTCAGCAACATCACAGGAAATTTGGTCACCTTCCCATCTGAAAAAAATAAACAAAAACTGTCATAACCTTTTTTGCAAAATCAATAAATAGTTTCCTCATTCTTGTGGCACAAGAAAAAATAACTTCCCTTGAGAAAAATTGTAAACGGTCTTTAATACAGATGATGTAATGGTTTGAAAGCTGGCGAAATGGTAAAAAATATCATTTTCTGGTTTTTCTCAACTTACCGCTTCACTCCACTATCAAAACTTGTTAATCTGGATATTTTATTAAAAAAATGTCGTAAAATCCTATGTCCCAATACCTCGTGGCGCTAATATCGACCATATCGACCAAACCGTGTTATATGGACACAATAACGTACCCTGAGCCACTATTGTGTCGTTGCTACCCTGGGTGATGACGACCACGCGCTGACGTTTCTTATTCTTCTTGTCTAGAGCAGCTGCTTTGAGCGCGACCTCTTCAAGATTTTCTGTCTGAAGATATCAAAAAATAACAAATATTATTACAGAACCCAACCAAATCAATGGGCCAGAGGTGCGTTGCACTCATGTGGACATTAACGTTCCACTCACATGAACGATCCTCCTGGCGGTTTTGGAGGATTCTAGAGGATTGAGGATGAATGGTGATTGAATCAAATGAGGATTCTGGAGGATTGAGGATGAATGGTGATTGAAGCACATGAGGATTTTGGAGGATTGAGGATGAATGGTGATTGAAGCACAAGAGGATTTTGGAGGATTGAGGATGAATGGTGATTGAAGCACATGAGGATTTTGGAGGATTGAGGATGAATGGTGATTGAAGCACAAGAGGATTTTGGAGGATTGAGGATGAATGCATTTTGAGGCAGGACTGTCTGATGATTTTGAAGGATTTGGCGTTGGTTTATCCTTCATTTAAACACGAGTGCAAAGTTTTGGGATGAGGAGGATTTTGGAGGATTGAGGATGAATGCATTTTGAGGCAGGACTGTCTGACAATTTTGAAAAATTTAGGCGGAGTTGCAAAATTTTGGAGGATTTTGGAGGATTGAGGATGGTTGTAAGCAACAAGGGCCTAGGGGGTTAGGGTTAACGTTAGCTAGGCCCCTGCGATCTTGCCAACCCAAAGTGAAACGCAAATGCCGAAAACTGCAAAACCAGCGCTACAATTGACACTGTAAGGTTAGCAGCTTTTCAAAGCTTCTATCTAATGGTAGAAGTGAAATTTCGTCAGCGATATGTGAGGTTATTAGGGAAATTTCAACACTGAGAGTTCACCGTGTGTGAGTCGGCCATCTTGGAAAAGATAGCCGATGACTTGGAAAGACCGTTCGCCTTTGTTGCTAGCGTTCCCCAACACTGGCGACAAAAAAGTTGGTCCTTTTTGCATAAACCTTGCAAACATATGCAAACGTTAGCATTTTCTTTTTTTTATATTTGTTTTACTTATTCTTTTTTTTTAGCAGCAGCTCGAGATCAGAGCTGTCTCTTCCTTCAATGGCACCCATTTTTACTCCTAGGTGGAGAGAGGCAATTGTAGTAAAGTGTCTTGCCCAAGAACACACATACAATGTTCTCATGAGGGTTTGAATTTATGTAACATTGCACATGAGTTAGACACCGCAACCATTGGTCCATGCTCCTGGGTGGACAGAGGCAATTGTAGTAAAGTGTCTTGCCCAAGAACACACACACACAATGTTTCCATAAAGGTTTGAACTTATGTACCATTATGTACCGTAACCATTGGACCAACGTTACCATTGAACCACAGTGATAAAATCAGTCAGTTGTGAATTATACGCAAGCGTGCCTAAACCAATTGCAACGAAACAATAATAAGAAAAACTTACCCCGAAATTCTGCTCCTTTGCGAAAGCCGCAAATTCCTAAATGAAGTAAACAGATAAAAAGTATTCCTATGAAAACCTCTTCACTTACTTCAATTGTTATAAGAATTTGTAAAGTCTTATCTTATATCTACACTGCTTGAAATTGTGCTTATTCTAAGTAATAACTGCAAAATTCTAATAATCTACACAAAAAAATATGTAGCAATGTTGATCTATAAAGGTCAACAGATACAAGACAAGACTCTTACCGTTTCGTTTCCGAACAGGTAATCGACGTACGGCATGACTTGCATCTGGGGTTCCTTGAAAAACTGACTGATGAACGGAGCCGACAGATTGGTCATGAAGACTTTGTTGTGCTCCAGAGCGTGCTCGGCGAACGCCAGTATAGCATCCGGCGCAACGGTCAAATGAAATCCCTAAAAGGAAAACAAAATTGTAAGAAATTTATTGTCATGTTGAGCAAATTCAGGCATGAACTATAGTTAACAATAGTTCAACTAAGGCCAAAAAAAAAAAGTCTCTGGTTTCTGGTATGGAGCTTGCCCAAAAAGTGGTGCGGCGACGCGGCTTTTTTTTCTTTTTCCCCCTGATTTTTTTGCTTCAAATGTCGGCTGATCACTGCAAATGGTGCCCGAATAAACTTAGTGCAAATATATGGGAGTCAAGAGAGGCCACATAAAGCTTATTCTCGACCATAACCCCATCTAAAAACACGTTAAAATTGTGCAGCAGCAGGATTCCAGTCAAACCAGTGAGTTTGGCGGTTTTGAGACATCATCTTTCATTGAAAAAAAAAACTTTTTCATTTTGCCGACGCGCATGGCTACGGCGACGCGCGCGCATACCAGAAACCAGAGACTTTTTGGGGGGGGCCTAACGTCACTTCAACGAAGGATGGTTGGACTTAAGTTGACTTTTTGGAGCCAAATACAACATGGTTTGAGGGTGGACAGTTGATATTAGTTCCCCCCGAGGTATTCGCTGAGGGAACTAGTCTGTCAACTTCCCAATACTGAGGTAGGCTAAATAAACCATGCTATATGTGACCTGTTCTGTTAAAAGCAGACGCTTCTGGGCAAAGGTTGAAATTGAGATAGGGCCAAAAAACGCTGTGGGGGCGATTTTTTTTCTATTTTCTAAGTTTTGAATATTTGTAATCCTGAGCAGGTCTAAAATATACTATAAAAGTTTGAAACCCTAATTTGATCTCTAATTATAGTATTTTTGATGATTTGTTAAGGTATATCAGTTAAAGAAATTACTGTTTTGTGACGTTCGTGGCCATTTTCTCTGTTCTCTACTTTCGACACAATGAACTTCAAAATAGCATAACTCTGCCCAGGAATGACCGGTTTCAAAAATTAAACCACCTATTAAAAGGAAACGGAACATATTTTAACAATATGCACAAATCTCATTTTTGACCTTATGCCCAGAAAAGTCTGATTTTGATAGAACAGGTCACATATATTTAAGTATACCGCATACATATTCACCAAAATTACCGAGTTAGGCATGTTATCTCAGAAAACGTTGCTATGCGTGTGCCACCATCTTTTCATGTGGCTAGGGCGATGTTTGCACGTGCACACTACTCCCGTACAATAGTTCCAGGATTGCTTTGTAAAGCGCATGCGTAGCAGACTATACATGGGTAACCCATGCGATTGTCGACTTCGCATGCGTATTCACCCTGTGCGTGAATCCTCACGCGCATGCTTGACATAAATAGCAAAACTAGCGGCTGACGCGTGATGGTGAATGGACCAGTGAGAATTCGGCTCTCGCTCGTGAATATGTAAGAGGTGTAGTGAATATTCTTATTGTCGCTTACAGGGGTGTAGTAAAATTCAGCCTTTTCGACGAGTGCCCAGTTTTCCGGTTTGAGAAGATGATCCTTTTTGAAGTGGTTAGCCGCTGCTAGATTGGCAACCAGTGACCTAACACAGTAGAAAATAGAGAAAGGAATATGAAAAATTTCAGTAAATTTATGACTGAAGTCTTTATTTTTTGGGTTGAAGCAACAAAATTGCTCAAAATCTCAACTAGGGAGCACAACAACAAATGACCTGTTGAAGTTTCAGCTCAGTTGATACAATTCATTTTGAGAAAACAGAGAAAACCTATGCACAGTTTTTTGGGGTCCTGTAACGTTTTCGTTTCCTATTTTGAATTGCACCCTCTCGGGATACAACACCTAAAATCAGTAATGGGGAAAAGATTCTCATTCGGGCCAGTAAGGCGATACTTGGCACCGAGCCGCAAGCACTGACACTCGCTTACTCCGTGGGGAAGGCTCATGCATCACGCCCATTTACGGATTGAACCCATTATAAAACAACATCATATTCTGATCAACGAAAGTGGTATTTAAAGGGAATATACATCATTTGCTTTTGCTGTAATTTTCAGAAATGGATGGAATTGGGGGGTTGGAAATATATAGCAAATATAGTTACACTGACTTTTTTGAGGTTTTGGGTTCGAAAATGCTATAAAAACCAAGAAAAACGATCATTTTCACGTAGTCTGATTCCCTGACTCCATATAAGAAGAAACAGAGCAGTTTACATACATTGGGGAATTGTAAGGTCAGGGAACCAGTCTAGCTGGCTCGTACCCGTTCATAGGTTTGTAATCGATTGCAAACAAGCGCGATGGTCAATTGGGGCCAGTATTTGAAAAAAAGCCAGTTGTTTCCAATGCTGATCGGCCGATCAGCATTGGAAATTGATACAAAAATTGCACTTTTCTTGAAAATGACAGTATACCAGGTGCCATGATATTACAGGATGCTTTACACTGTCATTCACTAACAGTCCAGCAAGGTATTTCCAAATGATTTGGTAGTTTTATTTTTTGATGTTTGCAAATGTTGTATTTTCCCTTTAACAGATATCAAATTTTAAAAAGCGTGCCTGCGGGCACACTTTTTTCAAACCATCTTCAATTTTTGTTTTCTTCCAAACGATACCATTTCAGGCGGAATAATTTCACAGGGTATTTGATACCAGTCCTATCTTCACTTTGAGACGGTTTCTGTCATTAAATCGGTGGGCTTTTTTATGGGGAATTGCAATGCTCTTACATTTCTTTAAAAGTACGAACAATACGCCTTTATCATGCTGCCACCATTTCAGTCATGTTCCCTGTATCCAATAACAGCACTGAATGATGTTTTTGTGCAAAAAGGAACCAGACTATTTTTCCTTTCAGCCTTGCTTTAGTTACGTTGATTTGAATGGTGAGAAAACAAGATGGCCGCAACATGATAATGGTCTGTATGCCAACTTGTCTTTCGCAGTGTGGGATTTCGGACAGTTCCTAGCCAAAAAACCCAGAGAGTTAGGGTTTACACAAACCTGTTTTTTCCTGTAATGACAGCGGCACACGTGCCCGTGGGTTGCTCTTTGTCCACCAGATACGAGGTGCGGACTTTCGCCTCGGCCATCTTTTCTCGCATGTTCTTGGCGTAATCGTCTTCGCCTATACAGCCGCAGAATGTCGTTCTCTCAGGCAGGCCCAAAACCCACTGGAAAATAAAGATCACCGATTAGCACTCCTTGCCTCCTACACTTTAAAATCCTAGTTTTGCAAAACCCTTTTTGCCTGTAGAGTTAGGCCAAACAAAAAAAGGTCTTCGGTTTCTGGTATGGAGCTTGCCCCAAAAGCGGTGCAGCGACGCGGCTTTTTTTTGTTTTCCCCTACTTTTTTTTCTTCAAATGTCGGCTGATGTTGCAGATGATGACGCTTTGATCCCCTTAAAACTCTCAAAAATATCCTTCAGGGTGGAGCTTGAGGTGACCTCAGTAAGGCCATAAGGCTTGAGAATTCTGCACCCACTTATGATCTCGACGACTGACACGAGCGTTCTTCGGGAAATTTGGATAGTCATACCATACAGCGACATCCGACATTGTGCCTGTGCTGCCAGGCAACGTATTTTTGCCAGGCTGGTCATTAGTCTGCTCCCTTACATATTGCGCTAATTAAAAAGCGTTTACAGGTTCCAGATACACAACCATCGCTTCCACACACACGTCTGGCTTCCACACACACACAACAACAAAAATACAACACCGTTTGCAAATGGTGCCCGACTATTCTGTGCAAAATATATGGGAGCCCAGAAAGGCCACATAAAGCTTATACTCGATCGTAACCCCATCTAAAACACAGCTGCAGGATTCCTGTCAAACCAGTGAGTTTGGCGGTTTTCAGACATCATCTTACATTGAAAATTTTTTTTTTTAATTTTGCGAATACCAGAAACCGAAGCCTTTTTTTTTGGCCTTAGCGCCCACATTTCAAATTCCTTTGAGGTAATCTTCTGTGGAGTATGGATAACACTTCAAATCCCTGCACAATTCTTTGGCGTGGTTAAGCTCAGGGCAAGCAGGCAGATTGAGTCACGCTTCACTGCTCTCCGCAGCGCTGTTTTTGGTGCAGTGACTCTCTGTGTGACACAGTTAACACTTCATATCCCTTCACCTGAAACTGACCGGCAGGGTTTTAAAGGGTTTTACAAATTGCTCTGAATTCTGACTTCCTACTAGGGAAAACGACAATAGAATTTGTGACATCATATCAAGTTTTCATGCTGTGAATTTGCAAAAGTTGAACAAATTTCAACAAATTTTGCCCACGCGCATTTAAAAAACCCTATTAACAATGTGGTGCTTATATAGCGCTTTATACCAAAGGTCTCAAAGCGTTTCACAATTATTACCCCTGTTCATCAGGCCATGAGACAAGTTTCCTGCAGCAGCTCGAGATCAGTGCAATCTGGTCTCTACCTTCACAGGTACCCATTTATACTCCTAGGTGGCGAGAGGCAATTGTAGTAAGGTGTCTTGCCCAAGAACACAAGCAACACATTCCCTGTCAGGTTTCAAAACCCACATAAATGCTGTTCGGATATTTGGCAGATGACCGAATATTTGAATATTTAGTATATTTGTCACAGCCCTATCTGGGTATGCACAAAATTTTCTTTTTATTGAGATACTCTACATAAACAACAACAACAACAACAACGACGATTAGAAAATATAAAAGCGGCAACCTGGGTAGTTCTGAAGGTGTTTTGGCAGGCACCGCCCGGTATATACTCCACATCAAATCGCTTGATCATATCTCCGTACATAGGCTTGTGCTTGTCCTCGGCCAAGATGGCCGTGTTGGCATCCAAGCCATATCTACAAGATGAAACGAGAAAGTATAAAATATTATCAATACAAGACAACCGATATTTGCGTGGATGCTGGAAGTTTTGTATCCCTGCTTATAATTTCAATTCATATGTTATTAACTAGTTCGCGTCAGAGGCCGTGTTGACACGCACTGCCTGTTTTTATACACCGGCACGGCCGACGAGTTAAAACGTCAAGATTGCCTCAACTCGCCTTCGGGTGACGTCTAAACGCTAATCCCTCGTGTCTGTGAGGGCAGAGATGGTTATTGTAATTGAATAAGCTTGCTTGCGCCTAACAGGCAGCATCGAGCTGTATACTCCCCAGGGAGCTGAGATGGTATTTGGAATGTTTAATTGGCCCAATGATCAGGGGTAATAATAATACTGTAAGCGCAGTGATTTAGTTTACTAATAAGAGCATTCTTAAATGCCGATTATTATTATTATCATTTTAAACACACACACAAAGTCTGTGAAGTCTGTGGAGGCAGACCGTGTGTTGATCTTGAACTGGCCGCTGTGCACGGCCTATTGTTCTACAATTTACTCTCCGTTGCACACCCTGAGTGTTGAAAAATATGAGGTTGCGGCAAGAAATATCGTACAGATACTGTTGAAATGCCTCGTGCGAATCAGTATTTATGGCGTTTGGTTATGTATCAAAAATTGGCTGCTATATTTCGCCTTTTTTGAAAATCAAAATTTTCGGCAAAAATAATGCCAGCGCAAACTGGTTAAGTTGAAATGAACACCAACAGAGGGCTGGAAAGCTCAGTTGGTAAACACCGGAACGGTAATCCGGAGGTCGTGGTTCAAACCTAGTCCGAATATTTGGGACTCTCAATTCTGTGTATGAGAGTCCCAAAACTTAAGGTATTGAAAACATGCAATACAGGAAAATAGACTGGCACATGAAACTACCAGTCCAACACCCCTTTGGTTCTGCATCAATCAACTGTGCCAAAAGAAACATCTGGTACCCAGTCTCTGTTTCTACACATTTCCATAGTCATGCCACCAGACTACTGAAGGGCCAATCTTCTTAAAAAGTTGGACTTGTACCAGTCTAGCCTTAGGCTTCAAATTGAAATCGCTTGGCTTCACTCTCAGGTGCAAAATATTGAAGAAAAGTCTCCTTTAAAAAATTGGATTGAGACTTCAAACTTAGCTGGTGAAATACAGGACCTTGTCTTTGCCTCGTGAAAGGTTTGGAGAATTTTGTCGGCTAATGAGTAGAGTTGGCCTGATTTTGTTTTGCATGTTTTTCTGCACTCAAAAGTCTGGTTCAAACCCTGCTCCAGTGAATTTCTTTTCGTTCAACTTTAAAACTACACACAGTTTCAGAATTCCTGAATTTGATACCTGTATGTGATCACAATTTCTCAAATAAAAAGCAACCTGTAAAAAACCTGCAGTCATATCGGACAAACTTTCTCCAAAATGGCACTCAATTTTACAGTAAAACTAAACATCTAGATATAGTGAATTTAATTGTTCTGCTTTTTAACCAGGTTAGTAGCTTCCATAGTGAAAATCAAGTGAAAAAAAACGTCTCGATTTTAATTTCAGGAAAACACAACTTTTTAAGAAATTTAGCGTGCGGGCTAGATTTTCTCGTACTTACTTGTCGAGGAAATCCTTATCGGCGTGGGCACAGATGTCCAGTAGTGGGTTGCCGATCCCAAAGAGAATACCCTCACTGTCAAGAAAAAAAAAGAAAAAATGATTGCCGGCACTTGGGCACTCCTTGTGACCTATGGGTTCTATGCACGACAGATTCTGTGAGCTGCACTTTGACGGTTGAAAATGGACAACATTTTTGTGTGTGTTTTTCTAGCACAAATGGAAACAAAACATCGAAATGATGTCAGCTATAAAGTAATATGTCTTAAATCGGTCCATTTCATGAAATTACAACAAATGCAAACGATCCTTAGATGTTCCTTTAAGCTTAATTTACATGTACTTATATTTTTAAAGTTTTGTCAGAGAGAAAAATTGATTTTGTAAACAATCAGCAATGACTTTTTTAAGGATTAAGTTTAAGGTAGAGTAGACCATTTGTAATTTGTTAATTTATGTCTTGGAACCCCAAAAAGTGCACAAAATAACTCTATGACTGCTGTATATTTAAGAAAACAATACAAATTCTGGATCTCGATTTTAATTCCAAAGATGCCGAGTCATGTTTGGAATTGCGCCCCCTTGTGGCACAATCTTGAAATCAACATTCGGGACATGATTCTCATTGTCACACATTCGCGGATTTCACCCAATTGCAAACCAACTACAAATCAGACAGCATAGGGGGCGGATTCACAGAAATTTCCCCCAAAAAGTGTCACTTGACACATTTTTAGAAATGACCATCTTTTCTTGTGTTCTTCAAAATGACAGCATGCCAGAAGCAATAATTTCACAGGGAGTTTAACATCACTACTATTTTCAAACCAAGTAAGATTTTTCACAATAATTTGTTATGATACGGAATTTTAACAATAATTTGGTCGGTTACTTTTTGAATAGCTGCAAATGGTCGTATTCTACCTTTAAAGTTATAGTCCATCATTTGCAATTTGTGCATTTTGTTCATTTGAAGCAACAAAAGTGCTCAAAATCTAAAGAAGGGTACTGAACAACTAACCTGATAAAGTTTCAGCTCAGCTTCAGCTGTATATTCTGAGAAAAACAGCATTCTAGGATCTCAATTTCAAATCAAAAGTTGATGAATCATGTTTTGAATTGCGCCTAAATTCAGAGTCCGAGACACGTTCTCACTGAGCTGAATGCAGCTACACGATGTCGCGCACTGATCTGACGAATTATAGCAACCGGGGGTGCGTGTGCGTCGTGCCAATGCTTGCGCGCGCTTCGCCGAATAACAAAACGAACTACTAATTTAAATTTTCCTACCGTGCGTCTTAAGAAGCACCGTTGGAAAGGACTTCTTTCGTTGATTACTTCAAAATGACAGCTTGCCAGAAAGAATAATTTCACAGGGAGTTTAGTCCCCTTACTATCTTTCAACCAAGTATGTGTTTCAACAATAATTACACCAGTTACTTTTCGGATAGCTGCAAATGATGGACTATAGCTTTAAATATTCCATAAGTTACAATAGGCAGGGCCATCTGTGGGCTCACCACATTTTTGTTGAAGTTGAACAAATTCTGTTCATCGTGCATGTTTTCACAGATGTCAATAAGAAAAACCCACAGTGAATATTGACTTTACACGGTACCTACCCGATCATTGCAAATTGAAGCTTCCGTACAGAAATATAAAGTGCAAGCCACGACTGTGTAAGCACACTGCATACAGCAAGACTAATCTGGTCTGACTAGCGCACACCGTTGCACAAATCCAAAAGACTCACTCTGGGTCCGAAACACAGCTGTATAGCTCTGGACCAATCCATTATTAGTTCCCAGGGCCACTAGTATTATCTGGGCTGTACCATTTTATCAACAGGTGTGTTCTCGCCATACTGATTACAGTAAGTCGGAACTTAGATAAAAAATTTGTTTGTGTTTTGACAATCTGATAAAAATGAGCGCACCAAGTTTAAAATCACAAATGCTATTAAAAGTTAATCATTGTAATGTAATAAGGCAACCCTTGTATTTTATGTTAATGTTGCCTACATGTTATCTGCATTTCCCTAATTTATACCACAGCACTACCAGCAAATTTTTATATTGCATAATAATATGATGATAAAAGCATGGCAACACGGATCAGATTATTTTTTTGTGAGGCGTTCTAGCAAAATGAGACAGAACTGTGCACAGGCTGTAGTGGAGAAAGAAAGCAAAAACCCAAACGGGAGTAATTTTTTATTTTATTTTCAGACTATTGGTATTTTTAATCTTTGTTGTGTCTACTACAAATGTTTTAAAGAAATAGTATTAAAGTTGTGGAATAATGGTGTTTTTAAGGAAAAACAACTTGGCATCTTTCATTTTCTGGACTACAAAACTTAAAAACTTTACAGGCCTTTTTCCTCGGTACGTTACTTTTTTGACATGTCGATAAATGCAAACTTTTAACAGCTTAAACTTGTCAACTTAATGTCTGATTGCAATATTTTAATTCCCACTTTTCCACGGCTTTCTCTGGAGCAATCTGCTCAAACTTTTTAAAACAAATAGGCCCCTATCAGCACTGAGACTTTGTCCAGAACGGCAGTATCTTTTCAGGTTTAACATTGGGGAGACCGCAAATTCCAGCGAAAGCAGAGCACAAAGCGACGCCGCTTGGTATTTCGCGATGTCTTTATTTTGAGTAACAAGCACAAGTTGCCGCCAAGTTTGATTTCATTAGACAGTAAACATTAAACTCAAAGTAAAAGCACAAACGGGAGATATATTTTGATGATAATCTGACGCATTTTCGATATTTTCTATATCATTCCTCAATATCGAAATTTTTGATTTTTCGTTAAGATTAAAAAATGGTAGTGGATATTTTGCCGGAGGTAATGACGGCAAACTAACGATTACTAAAGGTTTGCCGGCGGCAATCCATATCAACAGAGGGTGCTGTACTCTTTAAAATAGGGCTGAATTATAAGATGTATTAAATTCCCACCAAAAGTTGTGTAGCACGTTTGGTGTAATGGTTAAGCAAAGGCTCTAGTAAGCGGGATGACTCACGTTCGATTCCGACCGCACCACAATTTTTAATTTTTTTTTTCTCATCCCCAAATAAATAAGAATATTCTTCTTTTATTATTTTAACATGTCTCAAACAGTTTTTGCAGAGTATTACATTTTCTTTTTCAGATTTGTGGCTCTGGAGGATTTTTTTTAAAAGGGAAATAAAGTCCGAAATTATAAAAATGGTCTGAATCCCATCTTGTGAATACGAGGTAACAACGATAATTTTGGCATGGAGCCAGACTAAAACTTGTCACCGGAAAATGTTTAAGTAAAAAAAAACAGTAACTGCGCATGTTCAGTGCATATCCGGCAAACTAACGTTTACTAAAGGTTTGCCGTCTCCGGCAAAATATACACTGCCTTAAAAAATTGCTATCGTCGATATTCGATATTTATATATTATCAAAATAATTAATATTGGATAAAAACGTGTAATCTTGATATATCCACGGTGCTTATAATATTCGAGAACATTCTCGAAATCACTTGACGGGAAGTGTGAAAACGCATAGAGCTGTATAATAAGGAATACAGCTCTATGGAATACACCCACTTCCATACGACTAAGCATTCCTTCCTCCATGGACTAAGCATGCTAAGTATAGATGTTGTGCCCATTCTTGAAAATCACGCATTCTCGAGAATGGGCGCGCATTCTTAAGAATGAGCGCCCATTCTTAAGAACGAGCACGCGTTCTTAAGAATGAGCGCTCATTCTTAAGATTGGGTGGGAATATCACGTGCACAATTTATGAATTTTGCCCAATTTTAACAAACATTGCACGACATAATTATGTTAAATGAATTGTATAGCGGTTAAAAGGGAAACAATTCATATAAAGAGGAACGAATTTTTTTTTTAATGTTCTATGCTTCTGTACTCGTATAACTACGATAATTTGAATCATATTAAACCTGTTATTATTGCTTTTTCCTGCCTACTTATGGGAAGTTTTGTAATAACGGAGGACTGGGAACTAGTCTGGGAAGTGCTTTGTTTAGGCTAGACAGGTTACAAGTCCCTGCATGTATCACATGCGTGCCACGAAAAAAAAACATGTCCAGAAGCTGCCAAAATTGCTCTTTTGACTAGATAGAATCCAGCTCTGCGACGTTATGGTGGGGTGTGAACTAGCTCTACTGAGTGGAGCGTTGAATTACGGGTACCCCTCCATACAAACGCTCCACCGATTTGCCATACTTTGGTAGCACCATACACGGTCGTCATGACGGTATGCATTTTGTGCATGCCCTCGCGAGGACAAGGGCCCAAAAAAAACGATAAAGAAAATACAAATGAGGAAGACAGTAACCCTGGATAGATCCACACATTCATGACATTCCATATGACCCCTCAAATTGTTTCAAACAACCGGTAATTTTGAAAAAAGAACAAAATAGTCTGAACTTACCGCTCACAATTAAATGTGTCTGCCGAGTTGCACAGTCTATTTCACTGACATGACTGATGCATAATTCATTGCGCGCGTGTGTGACGTCACTATTGAAGAAAAACAAGTCGCGCTTAATCAATGACTGTTTCATGTACTGATATGTGCCCCGCACCAAAAACCCACAGTCAGACGGCGCGGGGCACATATGACTACATGAAACAGCTATTGAGTAAGCGCAACTTGTTTTTCTTCAATAGTGACGTCACACACGTGCGCAATGAATTATGCATCAGTCATGTCAGTGAAATAGACTGTGCAACTCGGCAGACACATTTAATTGTGAGCGGTAAGTTCAGACTATTTTGTTCTTTTTTCAAAATTACCGGTTGTTTGAAACAATTTGAGGGGTCATATGGAATGTCATGAATGTGTGGATCTATCCAGGGTTACTGTCTTCCTCATTTGTATTTTCTTTATCAGTTTTTTTGGCCCTTGTCCTCGCGAGGGCATGCACAAAATGCATACCGTCATGACGACCGTGTATGGTGCTACCAAAGTATGGCAAATCGGTGGAGCGTTTGTATGGAGGGGTACCCGTAATTCAACGCTCCACTCAGTAGAGCTAGGTGTGAACAATAAATTGGTGGCAATTTAAATGGGAAATAGCATTAGCACTATGGGATGTCGCAGTATTCATTCTCATTCTTCACATTCTTCATTCTTACGTCCCCCCCCCCCCTCTTTTATTATCCCAAAAATCTGAATTCTTTCTTATTTATTCTTATTTTTTCCCCCGGTCCCCTCCCCCAATACGCGTATACTTTTCATATCCACTCTACTTTTCAGCGCCTTGCGTTGCAACAATATAATTATTAAGAATCAGTGAACGAGGATTCAGCTAGACTTGCCAAGCGCAGCCGGTGCTCGGCATCGACAAGACCGTTATCTTGTCGCGCATTCTCAAGAATGTGCGCTCAATCTGGAAGAGTTATTTTTTGCCAAGATTGAGCAAGGATCCAGTTGCACATTCTCAAGAATGTGCATACCCATTCTCGAGAATGCGTGATTTTCAAGAATGGGCACAACATAAATACAAGTACACGAAGGCCGCCCGCGGCGCGACGCGGCCGGCCGTCCGGCGTCGATGTCACGCCCCAACTATCGCATCGGTCCCAACTATAGTTGGGCCTGTCCCAACTATAGTTGGGCCTGTCCCAACTGTAGTTCCACAGTTGGGCTGGCCCAACTATAGTTGGGCCTGTCCCAACTATAGTTAGGACGGTCCCAACTGTAAGTTCCACTGTTGGGCTGGCCCATCTATAGTTGGGCCACTCCGATCTTTTTATTTTGCGGTGTCCCAACTATAGTTTACATTGATGTACAACTGTAAAACGTTCCCTACAGCTCTGATACACGTCTGACTTTACTGGGGACCACTGAAATTAGCTATTGATGGGGCGAATCTATAGTTGGGCCACTCCAATCTTATTATTTTGCGGTCCCCCATAGTGTACATTGTTGTACGATTATAAAACATTCCCTACAACTCTAATACACATCTGACTTTACTTGGGACCAATGAAATTATCTATGGGTGGGGACCATCTGTAGTTGGGCCACCGCAATATTTTTATTTGGCGGTCCCAACTATATTTTACATTGATGTACGACGACTATAAAACATTCCCTACAGCTCTGTTACATACTGTCCGACTTTACTTGGGACCTTTGACATTAGCTATGGGTGGGGCCCATCTATAGTTGGCCGGCCATGGCAATCTTTGAATTTTGCAAAATGTTGCTGGACAATCAACCCAGCAGCTGGACAACTCATCCAACTAGGCAGTACCACGTGACCGGTCAGCCTTGCGGCATGCATGCACGACGAATACACGGTGCTAGCCCCACTAGTGTGGCCGTCGGTATGCTGCGCTGAACCTTTGGCCACACACCGTGGTACCGCGCGCTACTGAGGACGAAGTTTTTCATAAAATTCAGGGCAGTTTCTTACATTTTCAGTTTCTTACTTTCTTATGGTTGTATTCTATGATGTCTCCTATCACTTCTGGGATGCTTAGCATGTGCTTAGATCTAATGATGTTCCATTTTCCGAGATATTCTTCAATCTTTCTGGAGCCCATAATGCACTCGTGAAACGTCTGGTGGTGGCAGCCATTTTGAATGTGACAAGAGATGACCTCAAGCTGTGACGTCGCGTTTATGCAAATTGCTTGTCGAGCGCGCGGGCGCGAGGGCGCGAGTTGCAAATGCGACGGCTGTTTCCTGTGCCGTAGATCCTGAATAGAGATCGGTGCACGTGGCCCCCTGACGATAAATGCATGGTACAGGAAACAGCCGTCGCATTTGCAACTCGCGCCCTCGCGCGCTCGACAAGCAATTTGCATACACGCGACGTCACAGCTTGAGGTCATCTCTTGTCCCATTCAAAATGGCTGCCATCACCAGACGTTTCACGAGTGCATATGGACTCCAGAAAGATTGAAGAATATCTCGGAAAATGGAACATCATTAGACCTAAGCACATGCTAAGCATCCCAGAAGTGATAGGAGACATCATAGAATACAACCATAAGAAAGTAAGAAACTGAAAATGTAAGAAACTGCCCTGAATTTTATGAAAAACTTCGTCCTCAGTAGCGCGCGGTACCACGGTGTGTGGCCAAAGGTTCAGCGCAGCATACCGACGGCCACACTAGTGGGGCTAACACGGTGCCAGATCTATCAAGCATGAAACATCCGGCGCAACTCCAGTCCTAACTATAGTTGGGCCGACCCAACTGTCGCACTATAGTTGGGACGGCGTTGGGACAGTCCCAACTATAGTTGGGACCGATGCGATAGTTGGGGCGTGACATCGACACGCTCGAATGCTCACCATGTGAACTTACCGGACATCCAACTTCGATTTCTTTATCGTTGGTTCGGTCATATCTCCAGTGGACATACCAGGAATACAAATACGATCAGTAAACAAAGGCTTTGGGCGTGCTAATAGGTGGCTTTTGGACATAAATCGACAAAAGGACTTTGGACCCAAACGGCTTATTTCTTGACGATGTAACCTACAAACTCTGCATAAGAATGCGGGAAGTTAATGCACATGTCCGGTTTAAGGAGCCAGCTTCACATACACACTATGGTAATCTCATTGAAGACGACTGGGTACCAGTCCAAAGTCCTGCTGAATTTTTAGTGGTGGCGCTCTTCAACTTTACTGTAAAAGTCGAAAAGTGCTAGTGTGCTAGTGAGGCGTGTTCATTCAGCTGTGCCGCACCGGTTTCTGAGAGTTTCAGGTTGTTTTTTTGATGAATGTAAGTTGGATATTTCTCATTTAAGTGGAATTTGGGAGTTGTTGAATGGACCAACCCTTGGAATATGATCTGCACGATATGATCATTGCTTGCAAGAAATATGAATTATACTTTTACTTTTTAGGCCACAGTCATGACAGTGCCTGCAGATAGTGCAGTGCACTGCATTGCAGTGCATTGCAGCCTGCCTGTGTACACGGGTAATGTGTGACTTTTTGTGTAGCCTTTTGACCTTGTATTTTTTGTATAGAGTGTATGGGTGTATGTTGTAATAAAATATACTAAAGTAGTCTACGTCATGCTAGCCTTGGTCAATGCTCTGGTCGTTATTCGTCCCGTACGCGGTATCCATGGTATCAACGGCATATCCTCGCGCGCTATGCAGTGCATGTAAAAATACAGTGCGAACAGTGACCTCATGCGGCCACTATTTTTATGCAAATCAGTTGGACCCGATCGTGAGCCTTGGTTCAGTTGTCAGCGAAAGCTTATGTTTTTTCTTTATTTTGCGCTGGATTTTTTAGCGCACGACCTCGTATAGCAAATATAGATATAGTGCGCGAGGATATGATAAGTTTTTGGTTGAAATTTATCAAGAGAAAAAGATCAAATTTTGTTAAAGCATACATGGAAAGCAACTTAAAGGGATTAGACTTGTTTTTAAAGTTGTGTTGTTCTCATCTTAGTGATTTCTTAATTGTCATTGTCTGTTTCATCGTTTTGATCTGTAACTTTTTATTGTTGAAAATTCAGATTCCTGTATTGTTGTTTTCATCAAAATGTCGGAAGAGTTTGTCAACAAAGTCATCAAGCTCAGTTCACAGACATCTGGGAGAGATAAATTTTACAGGTAAAATTATTGTCCCTTCATAAAAAAAGAAAAATTGGGCGATTGAATACTCAATCGACTTAGAGTCAAAAGACTTAGAGTCTTAGATCAACTTAGAGTCAAAAGAGTGTTTTTATCATTCCAAAATGACCTCTGCAACCCAAAGCAGTCATATTTTAATTTTTGTAACTTCGTTGATTCTGCTAATCTTGACACGTTTGGCATTCTTACAGGACTTTTCAGTATGGGAGTAAGTTCCTATGGTGGTGTTTGGAGCAAGGCAGCGCGGACGAGGATCTGATCCAGAAAGTCAAGGCCCTGGAGAGGGCGCTAAGCACCAGCCGAAAATGTGAGTGAATTAGTCGTGTAGCCAGTCCTTTGCTAAGATCTTCTGAAACCTCATATTTTTGATCATTTTGGTGAATTTTCAGAGACAAAATAAGTCAAATAAGTATTCAATGTCTTCATTATTCAAAGAATCAAAAGGTGCAGGCGGAAAGTGACGTCATCTGATGAAAACATCTTTTCATTTGCGCACCAGTTTTCATCGGTTGCGATGAGTCACCGTTCAGCACTCCAGACTCAAGAACCATTGAGTTTCAAGAACATAGGTCTGGGAGCTAGACAAGCCAATGCTAAAAATTCTGTGACGTCTGCGCCCGCCTTAGATGTTTGGGAAGTGTAATGTCCGTGACAGAGCCAAATCACCGTGATATCTAATTAATGATTCAGAGAAATGCTCCAAAACTCCTAGTCTGTAATCTCCTTGACCATTACTAGATGATGGATGTACATGTATAAGATTTGAAAAATATATTTTTAGGTTTATTCACTGAGCTCATAAAAACTCTGTCACGGACAATACATAACGCTGGAATTGTCCATTTTGGTCTAAATTCATTGTTTTGTAAAATTTATTTTTCTGACCAAAACCGAAACTTTCTCAAGATTTTTGTGCACTCGGGGACCAGCTTACAATGCAATTGTTAATGTAGTGTTTCATCTAACGTTACCCTACTTGATCTTCTGTCGCAGTGTTACGTATCGGTAAGAGCATCGACTTGCTCACCGCAGCCCTGAAGACGATTCACTTGAAGGACACGTTTCTCCAGGTCACCATCACGCTCTCCAAACTCAACCAGGCCTTGTACCTCCTGATCGACCACGCCCTGTGGGCGCACCGCGTGGGCCTGGTCAAGGCCAACAACGAGCGCCTCACGAACCTCTCCGCCCGCTTCTGGCTGGCGACGCTCATCCTGAACCTGTCGCGGGATCTGTACGAGCTCACGAACGTTATCAACGACGCCGTCGACGTTCACACCAAACATCAGCGGAGTAGCACGCCGAACGGAGATGTACCGCAAACGGAATCGAACGTACGAGTCAATAATAACGTCGCCCAGTTGGACCTGATGGTCTTCTGTCTGCAAAGCAACAAGCCGATCGTCTTGGATCTGGTTAAGAACGCGGCCGATCTGTTCCTGCCGTTGTCCAGTCTGGGCTATCTAGCCATTCCCGCCGGTATCCAAGGACTGTGTGGTCTAACCAGCTCGATCATCGGACTAGCCACAGTATGGGACGCCAAGCTCAAACTACAACCTTAGCATAATTCATGTCCCAAGATTAAATTCACCAACTCTTTCCAATTATACGTGGCATTATTGTGGCAATCATATTCATTTTTTTTTAAGATTGATATATTTTTGTCAGATTTTAACAAAATTGTTACTGTTAATTTATAATTGCCTTATCACTACCAATTTTATAGTAACTATTTTTGCTACATTGTATGTTACGGATTTTAAAGAGAGTAGAGTGAAAAGTGTTAATTGGAGCAAGGTTTTAAAAAAATTATGAAAATTATGAATCGGCTTTCAATCGAATCATTGTGTAATGGCGTTGTCCTGTGCCGTTTGATGTACAGTGAAATAGCTTTTTGGGTGCGTAAGGGAAAGAGTTCCATACCTTGTGATTCGCCGGAATTGAAAGTTTGTAGACTATGTGCCGCACTTCAGTGATCCGTCGTAGTTTTCATGAACTTTGTGTTCACATGTTCAAAATCTTCAAAAGCTTTAACCATGGTAATGGAGCACATTGAGAAATTGAGAGGATAAAAAAACCACATTTGTGCTGGTCCCAGAGGGCCAACATATTGTCCTCTTTGTACTTGACTGACTGACTCACTTGCGAGCCGGGCAGTGCTATTGTATAGGGTTACCCCATAACCAGGCATGTAACTGGGAATTGACCAAAAAACGAGGAAACTCCAGACCACACCTGACTTTGTACAGTGTTTTTCAATTTGTAATGGCATTCATGAGAAGTAAAAAACGAGGAAATCAGTGGATCTGAGGAAAAGTTGCATGCCTGCATAACTCCAATGAATGGACTAAATCTTGCCCATTTTGTAGACAATACGAGAAAAATCTTCCATGAATAGCATTCTGAATCAATTGAATAGAATTGTGTGCACTCTGGGCCCAGCTTCAACTAGGCTAGCCTAATCTTGTTTATACTAGTGGAGTTATTGTCAACGACAAAATGTCCTATCCTGTTCAATCCAGTTCTGTCTAGTACAGTTCTACTTCGCTTCATCGCTTCACTCTGAATTCTCTGATGAACAGTAATTGAATACATTGTGCATTTCAAACCTATGGTATCTGTATATAGTTGATTTTCAAATGGCATATCAGAAATTCCCATCTATGCAAACATACCTTTGATCGCAAAGATTAAAAACTCTAAATACGGTGCAATCGGCGATATCCAGGCAACTGTTTGTTGCTAGTGATTTATTATTTCAATTATGTTGGCATTTTTTTCAATATTTAATATTAAATGAAAAGCTGCACTCATACATGGAATTATTATATTACTATGTAATCAAATACAATTAAATCAACAACTGGATTTGCATATTAAAATTTAAAAACAATTCACAAAATAATGTTTTGCGCACAAATATCTTTGTTATATAATTGTGCATATATTTATTTATTATGCAAATTTTCCAAAGAAAAAATTAGGAAAAACGATGATTCTGTATAAAGGGCCTAGTATGTTTCTCCACAAAATATCAATTGCGTTTAGTTTTTGTTAACGCTGTTGCAAATTTTACGGAAGTTGAGCGTTCGCATGTGTCAGTTGTTGACCGAATGGTACTCGGACTTTATTCCCCATTAAAAAAAAATTCTTCAGAACCATTAATTAGAAAGAAAAATAAGTTCTACTTCAATAAAATGTATGATTTGAAACAAAAGCAAGAAAATACATATTTGGGGAAAAAAAAAAAAATTGTTTCCCAGATTCGAACCCAGCACCTTCGGCATTTGTCCAATTTAGCTACCAAGGTGCTTCGATCACTGTAGGAATTTAAAATCTCATGTGGAGTGCCGTGGCCTCATGGTCTGGAGCATTGAATTCAGGGTCTGCGGGTAATTCTGCAGGTTGTGGGTTTGAGTCCAGCCTGGGGTTATGGTGGGTGTGCCCTTGGGCAAGGCACTTTGTCACTCATTGCTTCTCTCCACCCAGGAGTAAATGGGTACCTGTGAGGGCAGAGATGGTTATTGTGGTTGATTGTAGCAGCTTTGCGACGAAACGGCAGCGTCAAGCTGTATACTCCCCGGGGAACTGAGATGGTATTTGGAATGTTTCATTGGCCCAATGAGCAGGGTAATAATGATGTAGCGCCTTGAGCACCAATACTGGTGGATACGTGTGCTTTATAAATACACATTATTTAATTTGCAATGTTATGTTGCAATTCCATTACAATAGCTGTTGAAAAATGCGTTACGCCTTCCATAGAATTAGCCAGTATTTTGTTTTTATTAACGCCCAGTTACTAATTTTCATGCACTATGTTTTTCAGTAAATAACAAAGTAGACTCATTGAGATATATATATATAGCACCTAAGTAAGTACCTTTTAGTAAAAGTATGTCGGTTATATTTGAACGGAATGGGTGTATCTATTAAAAGAGTGTACATATGCATTTTACACAATGAAGATATTTTACGAAAATGCGTAATAATGAAGAAAAAGAAGTCATGTTTATTTATAGAAAGGGTCACTGTAAATTATTATAAAATTCCAAAGACGTTTATAAATAAAACAATTGTTTTTTTAACTGATATTTGTTCTTCAATTTAATCATTGATTTTCCCTGTTTTTTTTCCCATAAATCACTAAAAACAATATATATTTTACTTAAAAGAAAGTAAATGGTGAAAAATATATACACGTATATACGCATCATAATGCAGTCAATATGACCTCCATTTGAAAATTAATAACCATTATGTAACACTCTTATTATTTTTACATTATTCATTGAATCCTGCATAACATTACAATAAATTAAAATGTCTGAATCCAGTGGCATTATTTACAGAGGACCCAAAACATTAATATCAGTTTTAGGATATTTCCCACAAAATCTCAAAGAAAAGTTGAAGGGAAGATACAACATCTGCAAACATCAAAAACAAAATGATCCAATTGTCAAAATATTTTACTGGATTGTTAGGGAATGACAGTCCAAAGCATCCTGTAAAATCGTGGCTCCTGGTGTGCTGACATTTTCAAGAAAACTTGTATTTTTCCAATGCTGGTCGGCATCAGCGTTGGAAAAAATGTTGTTTTTTCCCCAAAAAAACTGCTCCTAATTTTTCGTATTTAATTATTCTGCATTTTCTTTGCACTTGATTACACGCCTGTGAAGGGGTAAAAGCCAGCTAGACTGATTCTCTGACCTTACAATTCCTCAAAGTCTATAAATTGTTCCATTTCATCTAAAGTGGGGTCAGGACACCAGACTACATGAACATGGTTGGTTTTCTTGGATTTTCCAGCATCTCCGAACCTAAAACGTGAAGCAAGTCAGTTTAGCAATATTTGCTAAAACATACTAATCCTCCAAATCCATTTATTTCTGAAAATTGCAGCAAAAGCAAATGTTGTACATTCCCTTTAAAAGTGACAGGATATACATATACATGTACATAACAGGACGCGATTTCTAAACTACATTTCAGACAAAAACACTTCACCTCTTAACGAGGTAACACCCAAGGACGTGTAAACACCATCAGGCAATGTATATTCGCAGGGGCGGGCGATGGGTTAAATTGTCCAGCTTTCCCCCCGAGTCTGCGGCGATGGACGTGTGGACACGTCAGTGGTTCCCATTGGTTTGTACCATAGAGCTATATTAAATTACTAGAGTGCTAACTCTTCATTCTTGCGCACGGAGACGCTTTGAAGCCGCTCTGGGCACAGACATTTTGAATTTATGTGCATGTTTGTATCAATCAAAATAGATGGATTGAATTTTAAAAGTGTACTCCGAGTCTAAATGCAACGCGCAAGTAGAAGATACACAAACAACTTAAGCGCGTCATGACGGTTCAAAAAACGTCATGGCGAAAAAGCATCTGCAGCGGAGGGACGCGCACACGTTGCGCTGTTTCCGTAGAGCAAAATGACACGCTCATTTGCTGATTGTGCGTTTCGGTTTTTGGCGTATCGGATTCGATGACGCACCGGTATGGAATACAAATGCAGATATGCAAAAAGCCGTACAAAAGCTGTACAAAATTTCTAGTTCTCCATAGGTTTGTGCACAAACATGGATGTGCCCATCAGGCATTACTTTGTACATTAGCGAGTTAGCGCTCTAGTAATTTAATATAGCTCTATGGTTTGTACACACCATGTTTTGACTTGAACTTGGCCGCTGTACACGGCCTGTCGTCATAGCAAATATCACTCTGTGGCGCGGCCTCAGCATGTTGCAAAATATGAAGTTACGGTGAAAAGTATCGAACAAATATTGTCAGTATTTGTGGTGTTTGACTTAATTTTAAAATTTGGCCCACATATTTTGTTTTTTCCACAAAAAAAAAAATTTCAGCCAAAAATAATCCCGTTGTCAAGTGGTTGAATACTGGAAATGAGGACTGTTGATATGGCAACCTTCATATGGTGTGCTAAGGAATTAGAGGCTCCCAAATTTAAGGAATTCCCAAATGTGTTTTAAAATGGGGTGCCGTCGCAAAATCAAAAAGTGGGGTGGGGGGGGGGGATCTGACGACTGGAGGCACGGTTAAAAGCAGGCCATTGGACAATACTGGACAATAGGTGGCGCTTTCTGTTGCAGCATATTTGACAGCGGACACAATTTTGCGGACAGGACAATCTTGCCGACAAAGCCAATTACCGAGGTTGTGCAGCTTAGAGAAATGATATATTAAAAAAAACGCCGCGCGACGTCTACAAACTACCCCAAAAGAATTAGCGGCCAGCGATCATCAGCGTCAGACGTTCATCTTCGCGCGACAGACTATAAACCGCCTATTAAATATTTGCGATGATGTCACGTTGGCGGTTCCCAACCAGTGCCAGAAATGTCACAGTCCAGTTGCCATGGCGAGGAGAAGCTCGTGGGCGTGGCTACAATTCATGGTTGGCGGGCGTCGCCGGCACCAGGCAGATATGGAGGAAATTATCGGGGTGACTAAGATGCTCGCTCAGCCATTGGACGGGAGTATCCAGTGGTGATTCAATACCTTGAATTAAGATCTTCGGTTTGGCTCCAACTGCAAATGAAGACAAAACAGAAAAAAAGAAGGAATAACGGCCATTTCAAACTATAATCTCACCTACATGTGTTGAAAACAACACCGGTCCACCGTAAGCAGAACCGGGTTCCAATGAACCCGGGTCGGCAAGGCATACTGTTCACACATACACCAGTGTGCACATGGGTCGGCTGTAAATTTGAGAATTTCTACCTGGGGTAGAGCCTCTCTACCCTGGTCCTGACCAGGGTAGGATTTTACCCAGGTAGAGCGCCGGACCCATGTAGAAGCCGTGTTGGATTCTTGCTGGTGTCAAAGGGGTTCCCGAAATCTCGGTGTTCGACCTAGGTCCGACGCAGAGATTCGGTGAAAGGCCCTTAAAGGTAGAGTACATCATTTATCATTTGTGCATTTTTTCTGTATAATGAAGCAACAAAAGTGCTCAAAATAGTATAAAGCAACAAAAGTGCTCAAAATCTAACAACTAACCTGATGAAGTTTCAGCTCCGCGAATGCTGTATATTCCGAGAAAACAATATTCTAGGATCTCAATTTTAATTCAAAGTTGCCGAGTCATGTTTTGAAACGTTCTCATTCAGCCGATTGCAGCTACGTGATGTCACGCGCTGAACCGACAAATAACAGGAACCGAGCACGTGTGCGTCGTGTCAAGGCTTGCGCGAACTCATTCACGGATTCGCCGAATTGTTTTCTTCAAAATGACAGCATGCCAGATAGAATAACTTTACAGGGAGTTTAGTACCATCTTTAACCCTAAAAGGGCCGGGTTATTTTGACCATCTCTCTACCGGGGGGGAGGGGGGGGGCCTAAGATCTCGGCCATCGAGTGACGAAAAAATTTCAAACTCGGTACATGCATAGAGCAACTCATCATGAACATACCCAAGAAATTTCATGACTATAGGTCAAAGGGTTTTGGAATTATGGCTAATTAATTATTCATATGTACGAATGGTACTTCTACTCTATGTACACGACGTATATTGGAAAATTAAGTTTTCATGGCGCATAGCACCAGAAAATTTTTCGCTGCGCAGCGACCCATGGTCCGATTTTTATATTTTTGGTATCAAAAGATGCGCAAGGCATAACAAGTCATAACAGCTCGGGTCGCGAATTTTTTTTTTCAAGGCTATAGCGGAAAAAGTCGAGATCCCCCCTCCCCCGACCGTTTTAGGGTTAAACCAAGTATGCTTTTCAACAATAATTTTGTCAGTTACTTATTAGATAGCTGCGAATGATGTACTCTACATTTAAAACTGCATACTGACTGAATTGACAAGAAATATACAAATAAACAAGCGTTACAGAGCCTGAACTGTCAACCCTGGTGAGACCTTTCTCAAAGGCAAAATGATAGGGGTACAGAAAGAGACAAGTAGGGGACACACAAGCATGCAAGGGAGGAAGGATTAATTTACCTGCGTTCCTGAAGCTGTCAGGCCCCGCCTCCTCTAGCAGGTGTTTGAGTAGCAGGGGCTCTGCTTGGTCTGTTACTGGTCGGAACAGCTTCTGGATGTACATGGTGTGAGGCTGGAAGGTTGGAACGTAGATGTAATATCATCGCAAGTTAATCGCAAGATAATTACAAGTCAATCACAAGCCAACCAGAAGTCAATCACAAGTCAATAACAAGTCAGTCACAAGTCGATCACAAGTCGATCACAAGTCAATCACAAGTCAATCACAAGTCAGTCACAAGTCAATCACAAGTCAATCACAAGTCAGTCACAAGTCCATCACAAGTCAATCACAAGTCAATCACAAGTCAATCACAAGTCAATCACAAGTCAGTTATAAGTGAGTCACAAGTCAATCACAAGTCAATCACAAGTCAATCACAAGTCAATCACAAGCCAATCACAAGTCAATCACAAGTCAATCACAAGTCAGTCACAAGTCAACCACAAGTCAATCACAAGTCAATCACAAGTCAATCACAAGTCCATCACAAGTCAATCACAAGTCAATCACAAGTCAATCCCAAGTCAGTCACAAGTCAGTTACAAGTCAATCACAAGTCAATCACAAGTCAATCCCAAGTCAGTCACAAGCCAATCACAAGTCAATCACAAGCCAATCACAAGTCAATCAGAAGTCAATTGTACACAAATTCCAAATGTGGACCTTCACCCAATAGTGGACCATGTGGTCCTCCATTGATCAAGGTCCACTAAGTACTGAATACACACACTTATGTATACGTTTGTTTATGGTGTAAACGGAGGATTTTCTTTTGTTCCTCTTCCCTTTTCCTTTGCTTGTACTCCTAATTTTTTTGCAACAGCTCTCATTGGTTTTGTGCACGTTTTCTAATCGAGGTCGTCCTCGATTTGGTTCCTGTCCTCAATTCATCGAAGATGTAGCACGTGTGTGTCCTCGATTTACACCATAAACACGCACCATTATATCATTTTTGTTTTACCTGATAAATTTTGAAGGGAACATGCTTGAAGGGTTCGTCCGATATCCTCTCCATCAACCGGCGGTTGGTGGCCCAGAACTGGTCAAATTTATCTGAAAAGACAGACAGTCCAACTCTCAGTTTTTAAAGTCTTTATGATAGGCTCCGTGCACAAGTACCCCCTCAACGATAAGAAAAGGAGAGTTGGGGGAGACCACTGGGAGAGACATTCCCACGCATTGCAGACAACGCCCGACAGTCAGTCACTGACGCGAAAATGCTGTGGCTTTGTGCACGCTCAGAATAAAATAAGTCCTGCGTATGTTGCGCTATACGCGTGTCAACCCGTGTACGTGTTCTACATAACCCCCCGAGGACCGACACACAAAGGGAGAACAACAGATCTTTCAGTCCTCGGGAGTTGGGTGTTTTGTTGGAAACAGTCCTCTGTAGTAGGTTTGTGTGCTTAGTCTATGGGAGAGTGTTATATTACAGGTACAAAGGAAAACACAAAGTATTGTCCTCGAGAGTAAAGTAAAACAAGAGTGTATGCGCTTGATGTGTGTCCCATCATAACAATTTTCATAACAATCACAACCTGTCAGTCCTGCTTTATGTAGGCAGGGAGCAATCTTAACTGTTATAAAAAGTCACTTGATTGATTTTGACAGAGAGGGAGGGTTTTGAAATTAATGGAAAACAACTGATTTTTTTGGGGATATATTACAGGTACAAAGGAAAACACAAAGCATTGTCCTCGAGAGTAAAGTAAAACAAGAGTGTATGCGCTTGATGTGTGTCCCATCATAACAATTTTCATCACAATCACAACCTGTCAATCCTGCTTTATGTAGGCAGGGAGCACTTGTAACTGTTAAAAAAGTCACTTGATTGATTTTGACAGAGAGAGAGGGTTTTGAAATTAATGGAAAACAACTGATTTTTTTTGGCATCCCATACCGAAACTACTTACCGTTTTGAAGGCCCGTCCAGAGTTGTTTGTGGTCCTTCTTCTGCATGTTGCTGATGACGTGGCTCTTGTGTTTCAAGACGTCGGCTTCTTTGAGGCAGGACATGTAGTGAGCTTCGATCACTTCCTTGCTCCCACAGTGTAGGATGTCCTCCTCAGGGAAGTTCTGTGAGGGTATCATACAAGGTGTCTAGTAAGCCGTCATCTCATGAACCCTAATCGCCCTGAACCCTTCAAAATTCTCTTTGCCGAAGTGGAGGAATTTGGAGGATTGAGGTTACATGGCAAAAGTGCGTTACTGATTTTATAGGATGCACTTTGTCAAGGTCTTGGGCCGGACCTTGTGTTGTTTTTGCTCAGCCATGCATAGATATAGGCCTGGATTATGCTTGAAGTCCTCCGTACTGCTCCAGGATGTCACTGGCCAAGCCTCAACATATTGACAGTCACTGCTGCAGGATTTTGCAGGATTTTGCAGGATTCAGGCAGTGGTCACCCCTCCACGGACCACATTCAAGGAATAATGGAGGAATTTGCAGGATTGAGGCTTAATGCTATTTTTCCATGAGGCCAATTGGAGGATTTTGCAGGATTGAGGCTACATCCTAGCAAAAAAGGCCTAGGGAGTAAGGGTTAAATGTGAAAGTTTTTTTGGGCTCTTTCTCTGACCCACGCGACCCAGCCTACACCCAGGTACCGGAAGGTCAGCGTCGCCATTGTAGTAGGCAAAGATCGTGTCACGCCGCTCGCCGTAGGTAGTAAGCAAGCCTTCAAAGCGTGATGGATGGCAAAAACTGTTGAGGAAAAACGCAAAGCCAACACCCAGTGCTGGTCGGCAAGATTATGACAACCGTACCAGCACAGGTAGTGACCATTATGCCATTTGATAAAGAATTCCTGGTTGTTTTATATGAAAAAAAGCCTACTGTCTAGTTTACAACGCACGACGTGGTTGCTAACTAAACGCTTGCCTGCTGCAATGGTGGCCAATCACGGGGCAACCGGATGGTCACGTGGTTCTTTGACATCGTATGATTGGACCGTATTTCGTGCTGCCTGTGTGCTTAGGCCAAAAAAAAAAAGTCTCCGGTTTCTGGTATGCGCGCGCGTCGCCGTAGCCATGCGCGTCGGCAAAATGAAAAAGTTTTTTTTCAATGAAAGATGATGTCTCAAAACCGCCAAACTCACTGGTTTGACTGGAATCCTGCTGCTGCACAATTTTAACGTGTTTTTAGATTGGGTTATGGTCGAGAATAAGCTTTATGTGGCCTCTCTGGACTCCCATATATTTGCACTAAGTTTAGTCGGGCACTATTTGCAGTCATCAGCCGACATTTAAAGCAAAAAAATCAGGTAAAAAAAAAAAAAAAAAAAAAAAACCGCGTCGCCGCACCACTTTTTGAGCAAGCTCCATACCAGAAACCGGAGACTTTTTTTTTTTTGCCTTATTTAAGAAATTCTGGGATCATTCCAACCATAGCAAACCTGTCCCAACTATAATTGGGGCCATTGTTACACTTGGGACGAAACAACTACACTCACTTTGAAATGTACTGTGATGTTCCACGGTAGGACGATTCCATGAGCGTACAAGTCGAAGAGAACTCCTACAGGATAATGCCTAGACAAGCACGAGACAAACAAACAAAAAATTACATCTTTTGGTTAAAGGGAATATACATCATTTGCTTTTGCTGTAATTTTAAGAAATGGATGGAATTGGGGGGTTGGAAATATATAGCAAATATAGTTACACTGACTTTTTTGAGGTTTTGTGTTCGAAAATGCTATAAAAACCAAGAAAAACAATCATTTTCCTGTAGTCTGGTTCCCTGACTCCATATAAGAAGAAACAGAGCAGTTTACCTACATTGGGGAATTGTACGGTCAGGGAACCAGTCTAGCTGACTTGTATCCGTTCATAGGTGTGTAATCGATTGCAAACAAGTGCGATGGTCAATTGGGGCCAGGATTTGAAAAAAAAGCCAGTTTTTTCCAACGCTGGTCGGCCGACCAGTGTTGGAAATTGATACAAAAATACCACTTTTCTTGAAAATGACAGTATACCAGGTGCCATGATTTTACAGGATGCTTTACAGTGTCATTCACTAACAGTCCAGCAAGGTATTTCAAAATGATTTGGTAGTTTTATTTTTTGATGTTTGCAAATGTTGTATTTTCCCTTTAACCATTTCGGGCCGGGATTATTTGTGCCGAAAATTTCCCCTTTTTCACAAAAGCCAAAATTTTCCAGCCAACTTCTGATATACAGCCAAACGCCACAAATACTGATTCGCAAAAGAGTCATTTCAACAGTATTTGTACAATATTTCTTCCCGAAACCTCACATGTTTCAATACTCCGGGGTGTGCACTGGAGCGTAAATTGTACAACAATAGGCCGTGCACAACGGCCAATTCAAGATCAACACACGGTCTGCCTCCACAGACTTTACAAGACTTTGTGTGTGTGTGTACAAAAGGCACGAGGGGTAAGTATGTTTAGACGTCACCCGGAGGCGAGTCGAGGCAATCTTGACGTCTTAACCTGTGCCTTTGTATAAAAACAGCCAATGTGTGTTATTATGTCCTCCGATGCGAACTCATTAAAAAAATACTTCTGAAAGATTGTGGAAATAGAATTCTACAATATCAGATGGTGGAGGATTGAACAGGAAAATAAATCCAGTTGAAATAAACAAATTCACAAAACAAGTCGGTGAACGGCAAAAACAAATATTGAATTTACGTCACCCCAACACAAATTCCATCTTTATAAATAGTTTGGTTACGGTACCCGCTGCTACATCAGAGGCCAAGTTCGCGCAAGGACTATAGTTGACCAATGGTTAACTAACGTTTGCCCGAACTCTGTCTAGTCGACGGTGGTTGACTACGCTAGTCGACTATTTGGAACCAGCCTACTGGGGTTGGTTGCTCCGCTGGTAACCAATAGCCGCGCGCATTCATAACGCTAGCAGAGAGCCAGGATCCAGAAGTTTTGCGATGACATTTTGACCCGCGTTTGACTAGAGACGTTCGCACGTTGCTATCAGTGCGCAGGCGTAAGGTATGTCACAAATCAACCACTAGTCGACTAATGGTCCTTGCCCGAACTTGGCCTCAGCGGTCGAGTGGTAATGTCAGATCTTTTGTGCATGCATGTTGGACATTAAAACACAGCTGTGATTGGTCGAAAGACCATTGGGCGGAGCCAATGGATTCGTCTACTGTGAGTGAAATTGGCACATTCTTACCACTTCAATGGCTGTCCTTCGTAGTCGAACCACATTTCGTCATCCTCTGTCACTTCCGTGAATTTCTTGAAGTGTTTCTGCACCTTGTCGGTCACCAGGGTGATGTAGGTTTGCCTGGAGATAAGCAGCTATAGAGAAAAAAAAGTAAAATGGTATACAAATATTGAGTGGCTCAGCGTGGAATGGGAGGAATATTATCGCAAGGTAAAATCTGGACTTTTCCGTTTCACGAGGCAAAGCCGAGTGAACTGGAAAAGTCCAGATTTTACTGAGCGATAATATTCCTCCCATTTCACAATTTAAAGCCACTCAATATTTGTTTTACATAACTGACATATAGATCCTTGTCATTTGATATATTTGAGCTTTTATTTCAATACAACATTAGTGAAAAATGTATTTCTCTCTTCCAAACCACCCCTTCACGAAAATGTTTGAAGCCAATGCTGTAGCGCTGGCTCTTTGGAACAATACGTGCTACGCGCAACGCGCACACCAGCATGCATTTGCACACAAATACCGCGTCATGGAACAAGACTGATCCTAACTGTTCAATAGTATTTCCCATTCCCCATGGGCGGATAGTACTTTTTGAGCCGCGGCGTGAATGGCAGTAATAACGAATGACACGTGATGTGAGTTCCACCAATCAAATAACAAGGATCTGTTTGTCGGTTATATAAAATGTTCCATAAGATTCATGAATGGATGTTATAGTAAAAACACTACTAAGCCTGATTACTCCCTTTCTTAGAAGAAAAAAAGCTTGGTGACTGTTATATGCTGGAGGAGTAAAATTCAGCAAAAACAAAATAAATTTTGAAGTTGTTTTTTAATTAACCTGAAGTCAATTAAAATGAATGATCTTTCATACTTGGGGAACAAGCCTATGCAACTGCGTTTATTGTACTCTTGCGCAGTATTTAGAGCCAGGTTGGCGAAGTGGTTCTTTCCTCGCCTTCCACCTCTATGGCCCGGTTCGATTCCTGCCCTGGTCCACATGTGGATTGAGTTTTCAGTCCCTACCTGATTCCGTGGGTTTCCCCCAGAATATTCTTCTGGGGTTTTGCTCCCACCTCTAAAACTGTATTTTCTTCTCATTGCCTTCTCTCTACAGGTTTCTTCAGGTTTGCGAGCTACAGTGCCTTGGGCGCTTTTAAGGAATCCTTGGTTTCATTACCAGAAATACATAATAATAATAATAGAGCAAGCTTCATTCAAACTGTTTTGTGCCCAGGATGCAAACGAAAGTTTTGCTTGTGGGGGAATAAGTAGTTAGTACTCTAGTACCTAAACATAGCTCTGTTGGTGTGATCGGTGGATTTGTGCTGTCACTCTATCGCACAGAAACACAATTGGTCGATCCTGTAGGAACTCTCAAGACATTAATAATTTCCCTGTTTTTAACCCTAACCGCCCTGAATCCTTCAAAATCCTCTTTGCCAAAGTGGAGGAATTTGGATGATTGAGGTTACATGGAAAAGGGAGTTACTGATTTCGTAGGATGCACTTTGTCAAGGTCTTGGGCCAGACCTTGTGTTGTTTTTGCTCAGCCATGTATAAATGTAGGCGTGGATTATGCTTGAAATCCTCCGTACTGCTCCAGGATGTCACTGGCCAAGCCTCAACATATTGACAGTCACTGTCGCAGGATTTTGCAGGATTCAGGCAGTGGTCACCCCTCAAAGGACCATACTCAATAAATAATGGAGGTATTTGCAGGATTGAGGCTATACATCCTAGCAAGAAAGCATAGAAAGTTAGGGTTAAACAATCCTCCAGAGCCGTGAATTAGGAAGAATAGGTGAACGACCGATGGTAGCGCATTTGACCGAAAGCTCAGCACAACTGACCAATCACGCAGTGCGATCAACTGCTCGCATATTTCTTTGCGATCGAGCGATACACTGGTCCACCGATCGAGCTTGACAGCTCTATGACATCAACTCACAAAGAACGGATCTGGTTGGTCCGACGTCACCTCATCGCTTGCTAGAGTAAAGCAGACGGGAATCCGTCCCTCCCACACTTCTCGTAGAATCTCCCTGTCATCCGCCATTTTGTCATCAGGCGATTACTTTTATGTCAGAAAGGACTAAAGGAGTTACATTCAACCTGGAATAAAACAAAAAGTGGTGTCAGGTTGCAACATATTTTCCTTTTTAAAAAAAAAGGGAAATGAAGTCCGAAAACCATTCGGTCTGGTTCCAAGGCAAGAGCCAAAGATCCTTATGTTGAATACTATTACTTGGGTCAGGGAACCAGACAGTCAACTGTCGTAACAATAGCCACTGTGTTTGAGCAAAGAGGGCAGCGTTTGATTTTTGACTTTAAAGTTTAAGGGAAATTACTAATTAGGCCTAGGGCTAGGCCTACATAAAAAGGGTGTTGATTCACATGCTCACTAAAAACAGTAGTGGAAAATAAGAGTAAGAGAGCCTCATTTTCTCCCCCAAAAACTTTGAAAATTCGAGAAAAAAACATGGGTCAATATAAAATTAATTTAGAGAAGATTGCCTGAGGTTGCAGACGTATTTTTGGAGCGGCAAAATATTTGCGGATTCGTCTTCAACTTCAAAGTTCAAGTTCAAACGAAAAAGTCTTGGTAATCATCGCGACGCGACGCACCATGAAATTGATGACTCTGAACAGAACCATTGACTCCCATACCCAAGTTGAACACCATACATTTAGTGACAGCACATATTTTACAGAGAAATACACAATCGTGGTCAAACTTACCAGCAGAATTCAACAGAAACTTACTCCGTCGTGTAAGCGGCCATCTTGACGAGCGCCCTCATTCATGTGACTTTTCAGATCAAAACAAAACCCGCCTCTTTTTGAAGAAGTAAACACGGAAGCGTTGTCGATCACAAAAAGGAGGAATATAAATGCAACTATTGCATTATTTCTGCCAACCGTACAGTTGTGGATAATGTCGATTGTTGTTCATAAACAAGAGTGTGTTCAATTTAGACACATGAGCGGTGACCTGTTTGCAGGTAGGTGTAAATTTATTGCCTAAATGATACAGGAAAAAGCCTTGAATTTGAAAGGGAAAGACTTGTTCTTGCAAAAGAGCGCCCTCTCTTGAATATGGACAGGTCTTTTGTTCCTCTTGTCACTAAATTTAAATAATTAAAGTGTGCAAGCCCTGTCAGGCCTGTATTGTCTGATTGATGATGATCGTTTATTTCGTTACAGATCGAAAGCGACAAGGTAGGACCAGAATTACAAATTGGTATTACTGGAATATTTTCAGAATTTTACTATGCACGTCTTAAATATTTCAAAGTGGCTATCGTTACGGCAGTGAACGTCTGGTTCCCTGACCTAAAATAGGCATATTCAACGTCAGGATCTTTGGCTCTAATAAACCAGACTATCAACCAAATGATTTTCAAAGATGGCGGATGGACTCTTCCATTTTCTCAACTCTTTCGCTTTTACTTTTGTATCCGATTGCCATCCCCCTTTCTACCAGCTTTTGAACTTGCATACATACATACATGGCTACCGGTACAATTTTGCTGGAAATAACTAAAAAGAAAACAATATTGCAATTGTATGATTAAAAAAAGTTGGAGAAAAAAACCCAGAAAGATATTTCAGGAATTTGAGTTTGAGAAACAAAACAAATTTATGGGTGTTCTAAAAATTTACAGGTCTACTTTTTTTATGATGTATAATTTAACTAAAGAAGAATGAAATATATTTGGCTTGTAAAAAATGCTTGTGTTTTTAAAAAGATGGGAATAAATATGTGCTTGGCCGGTTTTAAACAAGTCCGTTTAAGACCGGCTTGGGACCTGGTTGTCGATAATGGCACGAGCCGAATCAGCGTCCAGTCCAGTAAACAGACTTGTTTAAAACCAGCCAAGCACAATGCAATAGGGAAACATTGCACAAAACAAATTTTCATGTTTTGATTTATGTGATATTGTTACTAATATTATTTTTATTTGGTTCACAAATTTGACTACTCAACAAGTGGTATAGAGTGAAAGTGAAGTTCAAAGGGAGTGTGGTTATAACAGTGTTTCCCCTGGCTAAGGAACTGAGCGAGGTGGTAAAAATTCCAATTGATGATTGAGCAGTCTGCAAACTGAAAACAATGCAGCACTCACAAAAATGTGCGATGATTCCATATCTACACATCCAAGTTGTTAATTCTTGATACATGCGTACATGACGAAGTCAAGGAAAATGCTCATAAATTACACAAAATGAAAGTTTTTTGATGAGTATTTCCTTTATTGCAAATCTGCACAGCGAGGTGGTGTTATTGACAAAAATTGAGCGAGGTGGTCCCTGAAAGTAGCAAGGTGGGTAGCGTCACGTTTGAATGGGCAGGGGAAACACTGGGTTATATAATTCATATGACAACGTGTTTCCATATGCTAAGCAGGTGGATTGAAATGGGGCTGTAGAGAGGTCACTTTCCCAGAGATTTTGTGAAAGAAAAGGATTGTGTATGGACAAATTTGAGAGTCCAACAGCGATAGGAATGCAATTTTCCAAAAGCTGGGTCGCAACGGAATTTTAATCCAGCTTTCAAGGTCATGAAAAGAACTTTGCAGGGATGTATCATGCATTTATTTTAAAATCTCTCCAAACGTATCATTTATTCCCCCCCCCCAAAAAAAAATAAAAGTCAGTGTATTGCATGCCACATCACACATTTGAACTTTGAACATGAAGTCAATTTGTGTATTGAAACAAGACTAGATAAAATAGTATAAGTATGTAATCAAATAAGTTACTGATTGTATTTCTCACGTATATTTCAACTTCATTTGTAAGTCTGTAATGAAATAGGGAAACATTGCACACAACAGATTCTCTTTTTGATTTAAAGGGAATATACATCATTTGCTTTTGCTGTAATTTTCAGATATGGATGGAATTGGGGGCTTGGAAATATATAGCAAATATAGTTACACTGACTTTTTTGAGGTTTTGGGTTCGAAAATGCTATAAAAACCAAGGAAAATGATCATTTTCCTGTAGTCTGGTTCCCTGACTCCATATAAGAAGAAACAGAGCAGTTTACATACATTGGGGAATTGTAAGGTCAGGGAACCAGTCTAGCTGGCTTGTACCCGTTCATAGGTTTGTAATCGATTGCAAACAAGTGCGATGGTCAATTGGGGCCAGTATTTGAAAAAAAGCCAGTTGTTTCCAACACTGATCGGCCGATCAGCGTTGGAAATTGATACAAAAATACCACTTTTCTTGAAAATGACAGTATACCAGGTGCCATGATTTTACAGGATGCTTTACACTGTCATTCACTAACAGTCCAGCAAGGTATTTTAAAATGATTTGGTAGTTTTATTTTTTGATGTTTGCAAATGTTGTATTTTCCCTTTAATGTGATCATCATATATTGTTTTTTTTTTATATATTTATATTTTTATTTGGTTCACAAAATAGATTCAACAAGTGTATAGATTGGAGTTGAAAGGGTCCGTGAAATTAATTTTTCTTACATGTCTTAGGAACATATTTTATGCAACTTTCAATTCCGGACTCTTAAATGTATGAAAACTATTTGACATCCCTTTTTGGTTAATTTTATTGAAAAGTGCACTTCTTTAAACATTTACAATTGTCCATGCTTTTCCGGACAACTGTGGGCGAAGTTGCTGTGATGTCATTTCAGGAAGACACTGTTCAGTTTGAGGGTTTTCTGTTCAAATTGTGGACCCAGAACTTTGCTCATTGAAAGGATTTCGGAGAAAAGTTTGCTCATTGGGTTACTGCCATGTACTGGCACAATCAACGAATCACCAAAGAAACAACAATTTAGGACCGAAAAATATCCAAAACTCTGGCAACATTTTGTGCTGAAATAGGCATTAACATTGAGGTGTTCGCCCGAAATGACATCACACTTTTGCTCATGAATATGGAAATTTGCAATAGCATAAAAAAAGGCACCAAAATGCCCTTCTGTTTCTACTGGATACTGCAAACAATCTCTGTTTTGGGATGTAAGTTGCACCCTTGAAAATGGTGGAACAAAAATTAAAAATATGATTAAAGGGAATGTACATCATTAGCTTTTGCTGTAATTTTCAGAAATGAACTATTTGTGGGGTTAGTATAATACATCAAATATTGTTACACAGTGACATGTTTGAAGTTTTGTGTTCAAAAATGCTGGAAAAACCAAGAAAAACAAAAATGTTCAAGTAGTCTGGTTCCTTGACTCCACTAAAGATAAAATGGATCAATTTATAGATGCTGGAAAATTGTACGGTAAGGGAACCAGTCTAGCTGGCCTGCACCCGTTCATGAACATGTAACCAATAGCAAACAAAATTTGGACCGAAAAAAGTGTAAAGTGGGAGCAGTAGTTGAAAAATAGTTAGGTTTTTCCAACGGTGGTCGGCCGACCACCGTTGGAAATGTATACAAAAATACCATTTTCTTGAAAATGACTTCACACCAGGTGCCATTATTTTACAGGATGCTTTAGACTGTCATTTACCAACATCCTAGTAAGGTATTTCGTAAAAACTTGGTAGTTTTATTTTTCGATGTTTGCAAATGTTGTATATTCCCTTTAAATGGGACGCAAAGGTGCATTTTCAAGGATTACATTAAAAAAATTGCATGGCCCTTGAAAGGGAGTATGGTTATTTTTCAAACGCCATCAATGATATAATAATGATACACCCCCACGACTACACACAAACATACCCCTTTAATATACATGCACTGGCATACTTGATTGCTCAGGAGAGACAAAAAAAGGGAATTTCCCCCGTGAGAAATACTCAAGACGAGACATTACTAATAGAACAAAAATTGCAATGACGTAATGTTTTATTCAAGTAGTTGAGAAATACTGTATATATCCACATTTGCATTTAATCAATTTCCCTGCGTGGATCTGTGTTCGGAGTTTGGGGATTTATTGGTCATCGCTTCCTGTGTTGTTTACTACCTAACACTGGAAAAACTGTGACCTTTTATTCTATTGTTGTAGCATTCCAAATAAGCTTACTTTAACACAGAGCTTTGCAAGTCAAGAACTGTGTCCGTATAAACCTGCCAGTGTGGGCGTTTTAATTTTCTGCTTCCCTGTTTGTATTGGCGCAGTTCATTTCATATCAGTCTCGCTTCTTTTGGAAATTTCTAAGAGTCAAACATGGATTTTACTAGCGAAGGCGGACTGCAGATACTGTTCAGGGGAACTTTTGGCCAAAAATGGAGGAACAGTTTTGGTAATCATGGAAACGAAAAGGTATGATGATGAATTGATGAGTGGAGTACTAACTTTGACACAGTAGTGGGATTCTTCGGTCAGCACACTCTTCTGTTTTGTGTTTCACTTTTTTATGTAACATTTTTTTAGAGCTTTTTTTTTTTTACGTTTGTACATTGAATTTGTCAAGTTTTAACAATTTGTAGAGTTTGATCTCTTGTAGAATTTGTAATCCTTCTTTAGCGGTAGAGTACTCACATCTTCTTTTTTGTAGCTGTAGAGTTTTTAGTCTCAGAACTGGAATTCATTTATATTTTTTAGAAAGTCACTAGCGAAACTTTCTTTTACATTTTTGAAGAAGTAGAGAATCGACATCTATTTCTAGCAGTAAAAAAAAATTACATGTTGAAACATGAAAATACCTCAATGTTATTTAAAGGGAACATACAACATTTGCTTTTGCTGTAATTATCAGAAATGAATGATTTTTTTTTTTTGGTGGGGGGGGGGTAGTATTTTATAGCAAATATTGTTACACTGACTTGTTGGCCGACCAGCGTTGGAAATTGATACTAAAAAAATACAACGTACAACTTTTCTTGAAAACATCAGCACACCAGGTGCCATGATTTTACAGGATGATTTAGACTGTCATTCACAAACAGCCCAAGGTATTTCATAATAGTTTGGTAGTTTTGTTTGTTGATGTTTGCAAATGTTGTATATTCCCTTTAATTCCTTTATTGTCCGCAAACATACTTTTTTGACGGGAGTGCCCATATATCTAGTATGTCTCTGTAGTGATGCACATTTCTCATTTCTTGGGCTTGAGAACATAACCATATTTAACTTTCAAAATTATGAAATGAAACAAAACAAAATTGTACTGCCCCTTCCTAAAATGGAAAAGGCTACAGAACAAGCTTTTCAATTAAGTAACTTTTGGGGCTGTGTTATATCTCAACATTTGCACAAACTCACAGAAGAGACACCAATTCTTATTCTATATATTTGTCACTGCATAGGGTGAACAACCCCCCCCCAAAAAAAAGTTGTGCAAGCAGACATCTTTAAATTTCTCAAATAGTATCCAAAATTGTCAGCATTTTTTGTTGACGGAGTATACTTTTTGTACCCTTGTGTGTAATCACAGCGAAAATTTGATGAAAATCCAGAGATACAACAGATTATAAATGGCAATCTGTTTTTCACCGTTCCCGATGTGATTTTTTACACTGAAGACCCATTGCGGAGTGCTGGTTGAGCGATTTCCAATGCAATGTGTAGTTCCCATTGGAATGTTTGCAAAACACCCTTTTGTTAAATCTGTTACAGCTCTGGTTTGCATGAATGGGTGTCCCTGACATTTTCACCGATTGCATGTAAACGTGTAAGAACACAATACTGGAGAATAAAATAGGGACGTGGGGATCAAAAAAAAAATTGGGTACTAATTTTGTTTCCCTTTTGTAATGCTCGACTGACCTTCCCTCAATAAAAAAATAATAATGAGAAGATAAGTTTTAAAGCATCTTTCCTTTTTTAGCAGCTTTACGTTGGTGATAAAGAGAAAGTTAACGTTAGTTACATGGTGTCCACTTCCTGCTTGTTACCAGACCATAATTGGCAGAAATGGAGATGATGATAGTTTCTTTATTGCAATATAAGCTATTCATTGCTGAAAATCTAAAATTTAGACGATTTTTTTTTTATATAATATTTTGTCGCAAATTTAACAAGTGGACACCGTAACTAACGTTAAATAAAATGAGAGATTTAGCTGTTTAAAATGTTGAATAAAAATGGACACCAAAGTGGTGACCCACCCTTAAATCTGAATTAAGGAAAGGTCAAGTTTAAAAACGTATGTCATTGTGTATAAAGGAACTGATATTATGCTTCTGAAGACTCTATCATCTGAAATTACTGTAGGATATACTAAGGAGGGTTTATAAAGACCCCAGTAAATATGCTAAATAGGTGGACACCAAACGTAACTTACGTTAAATAGTTTATCTGGCATCCCTGTGCCCAACTATTTAGTTATCAGGAGTGACAACATTGAGTTCCACCCTAAGGCCAAAAAAAAAAATATTCGGTCTCTGGTCAAAGTTCCGGAATTGACGCGGGGACGCGGCTTTTTTTTTTTTTCTTCAAGCTTGGATTGTACAGACAAGGTGGGGCACTATTTTGCTTTTTTGGTGTCCTCATGTACATTGGTGTCCTCCATAATTTGCCTTGGTGCTCTCGATCATTTGCCTTGGTGCAATTTCCCATTCCTTGGTGCTCTTTGGGAAAAAAATTGAGGAAGTGCGGCAATAGAGGGCGCTGTTGGAGCTACCGCGGAACATTTTGGAAAAAAAAATTGACGCGCATGATTAAAATCGACGCGCGCGCTGACCAGAGACCGACTTATTTTTTTTTTGGCCTAAAATTAGCCAGTATTGTGTCCTTACACAAACACAAGAGTACAATTAATATTATGCCCAATCAAAATGAAATACTCATGTTAGGTACTTTTATTTAGAAATGAAACGATATCTGCTTGCATAACTTTTTAGGGTCACCCCGTGGAATGCATTTACTACTTGTAGTTGATGTTAACTTTCTTCTTTCTTTTTTTTTGCACTGAATCATATTCTTCCATGTACTTAACTTAAATCGTGAAATGTTAGATCGTTTACTTGGATGATGAACACAAAACTATCGTGCAGTAATGTTTAATGTGTGGCTTACAAATTTATGTTGCTTCAAACCATTGCTATGACCTCACACTATTGTTAAAAGTGTGGATTCGGAACTATATGAATCTGTTACGGTCACAAAGTGTGGATTCGGAACGACGAATCTTTAGTTAAGTGTGGATTCGGAATTACGAATCCACACTTTGAACATGACGGACAATTGTTCTCCATAATGAGCATTAATAGGACCGTCTGCATGAAAAGTTTCCTCCGAAAATTACCAATGCATCTTCACTGTCAGATTCTCTACCATCACTGCAAAACTACTTTGGAAGACTAAACCATCAGTCCCGTATTGAGAGGGGGGAGGGGCTGGGGGGGGGGGGGAACTGGTGCGTACGCATCCCCCAGCCCCCCCCCTCCCCTTTGAAACATTCTTTTCATCAAGTTACTTCACAACTCCTTATGAAAAAAATTTATTTTCATCCTCTACCTCTACAAAAAAAAGAAAAAAAATTGGCACATTTAAAAGTAAAAAAGTACCCCAAAAAATGAGTTCACTCATAAAGTGTAAAGACCATTCTGGGCATGCTGTCAATTCTGTCACGAAGGCCCCCTTCAATGGCCAAAGCATTGTGCTAGCTATTGTTCAGATAATCCGCCATGGGCCAGTTGCTTTGTACAATAGCGTGCACAATGGTTTCTCCATTAAAGGGGGCCTCGTGAGAGTGTACAGTGAACAGAATGGACTGTGAAATTCCTTTCTTTTCATTTTTTTTTATTTTAACAGTCATTCCAGTTGGACACTTCCAATTACATCGTACACAATGTAGAAGGCGGGTATTTGAATCGTGTTTACAGGCTGTGCAGCAAGAACGACCAATCGCAATCCGTCTTCATTAAACATGCTCCACCATTCATCAAGGTAACTTTTTTTATTCGTCCAAGGTATCAAATTTCATATCTGTACTTTACAAACAATGCACAAATAGCAGCATGTAGACTGATGTTGGACTGTCATGTTGACATAGAAATAAAAGTTACCTTTCAGAGACTGTTCACAAAGCATGACATATAGCTTGCGAGCTGGGGCCAATTGCACGGCGCTGCTAAGCACAAAAAGGTGCTTAGCACAAAAAAAGCTTAGCTTATAAAATCAGGTTACCAGCCAAAACTCCATGTGATGTATATTGCTCGTGATTAGTATTGAGCTGTTGTTTGCTATAGCATGAAAATCACGTGGAGTTTTGGCTGGTAAACTGCTTTTATAAGCCAGATTTTTTTTGTGCTAAGCATGTTTTTTTTTTTGCTTAGCAGTGCCACGAAATTGGGTCCTGGTCATGACCTCTTCATTCAGCGTTGTGGCTAAATGCACAAATACTTAACTTAATTTATAAAAAAGTTAACATATAAGATGTACTCTCAGTTCTGTCGAACAACTTTTCCCCCAAATTTTTTTTTTTTTTTCTAGCAATATAAAAGTTTTACTGTTCAACGAGACATCAAAATTAAAATCAAAATCAGTCCACATTTAGTTGCTTTACAATTTTTCAAATCATTTGCAGTCTGACAAATATTCAGTTTTTGTTCAGTGCTTCCAAACCCCTTCCCCCCCCCCCTCCCCCTCGATAAGATTGATCATAGCGGGAACTGGTCTTCCTACAGGCCGGATCTTTGTTCATCTGCCAAAATCAGTCACAATTATCATTCCTGCCCTCACAGGTACCCATCTACTCCTGGGTGGGGAGAAGCAGTGAGTGACAAAGTGCCTTGCCCAAGGGCACACGCACCACAACCCCAGGCTAGACTCGAACCCACAAAATGACCCACAGATCTTCGGAGTTGAATTGCCACAACCACTGAGGCCATGCACTCCACAAAAACAACATTAATAGTATTGAAAAAAAAATCAAAATAGACTAAAATCGAATCAATCCATCCTTTCTTGTTGGACAGTGCCTGGGTTACGACCAACCGCTTGGAGAAGAGAGGCTTCACACCGAGTTCCTTGCTCTTAGGAAGTTCCAGCAAGCTGTACCTGGTTCAGTGCCTGATGTGTATTTCCACGACGAAGAAACAAAATGTGGTAGGATAATCCAAAAAAATTGAAAATAATTGGTCCGCATAAATTTGTATATACCTCATACATATTCATAAGCGAGAACAGAATCGTAACTTCTCAATCTACCATTACGTGCTAGCCGATAGTTGTGCTATGTACCAGTATACATGTACACGCGGAGTCACACGCACAGGCTGGCTAGCTCAGTTGGTAGAGCACCGGAACGGCAATCCGGAGCTCGCAGGTTCAAACCCCGCTCCAGTCAATTTCTTTGTTCAACTTTTTATAAATAACTTTATTTTACGTATAAACTTACAGTTGTCATGGAGGATCTCAGGAACTACGAAGTCATGGGCAGTCAATTAAGCCAAGGCTGTCTGGACATCGTCCTGGTCAGGCGACTAGCCAGCGTGGTCGCCAAACTGCATCGGAATACGCACGTCGCGACTACCTCAAGCAGCGAATTCACGACAATGCTGGAAACATTCCGGTATGCTATCTAGCTTCCATGATCATAAAGCATTAAAAAGAGATTATTACTTTAACAGAGATATCGACGGTGTTTTCACGAAGTGACAAAAACCTCAATATCTTGCAAAAAGGTCATCCCAAGATAATCGCACTTGAAGTTAATCCTTTTTTTTTCAGAACACATTTTCGACTAGTTTGCAGTGATTTTGGAATGTTATGCATTGTAAAGTAACGTGCTTTGTTCTTTGCTAATTCAAAGTTGTTTGTAAGTTTTTCTTAATTAAAGGGAATGTACAACATTTGCTTGTGCTGCAATTTTCAGAAATAAATGGATTTGGAGGATAAGTATGTTATAACAAATATTGTTACACTGACTTGTTTCACGTTTTGGGTCCGTAGATGCTGGAAAAACCAAGAAAACCAATCATATTCTTGTAGTCTGGTTCCCTGACCCCACTTAAGATGAAACGGAGCAATTTATAGACTTTGGGGAATTGTAAGATCAGAGAATCAGTTAAGCAGGCTTGTACCTCTTCACAGGTGTGTAATCAATTGCAAAGAAAATGCAGACGAACTATATGATGAAAAATTAGGAGCATTTTTTGAAAAAAGCCAGTTTTCTCCAACGCTGGTTGGCCGACCTGCGTTGGAAAAATACAAGTTTTCTTGAAAATGTCAGCACACCAGGAGCCACGATTTTACAGGATGCTTTAGACTGTCATTCCCTAGCAATCCAGAAAGGTATTTGTGATAATTTGATCATTTCGTTTTTTGATGTTTGCAAATGTTGTATCTTCCCTTTAAACAGTAATTCATTAATAAAAACTCTTTGACACTTCATCTCAAAATGTGGATGCCTTTATATTTTTTCCCCTACTTTGTATACAGGCTTGGTCACATCGTGAAACCCTAAACATGTTGTGAGAAATTGTTACTGTTACACGTCAAACATTTTTTTGCAGGAATGAAGAGATGGTTGCTTTGAATGCCGACATGACCTTTGACCTCAGCAATCCGGCCAATCGCTGCTCTCCGGAGCTGGAGGGTCCGGCTTGCAGTATTCGGAAGGACCCCGAGATCGTTGCGAACATTCAGAGCCTTCACTTGGTCTTCTTGCAGCGTAAGGAATGCCTGACACACGGAGACCTGCACCTTGGCTCCGTTATGGTGAACGAGTCGTCCGTAAAGGTAGATTGAATGTTTTGAGGCGGACGATTGTAATCCTTGAAATGCGCTATATAAAAACCCATTAAAGGTATAGTCCATCATTTGTAATTTGTGCATTTTGTTCGTTTGAAGCAACAAAAGTGCTCAAGATCTATTAAGAAGGGTGCTGAAAAACTAACCTGATGAAGTTTCAGCTCAGCTTTAGCTGTCTATTTCGAGAAAAACAATATTCTAGGATCTCGATTGCAAATCAAAAGTTGATTTTGAATTGGGCCTGAATTCAGCGTCCGAGACACATTCTCACTGAGCCGATTGCAGCTACGCAATGTCGCGCACTGTTCCGACGAATTATAGCAACCACGCGCGCGTGTGCGTAGTGCCAATGCTTGCGCGCGCTTCGCCGAATAACAAAATGAACTACTAATTTGAATTTCCTACGGTGCTTCTTAAGAAGCACCATTGGAAAGGCCTTCTTTTGTTGATTTCTTCAAAATGACAGCTTGCCAGAAAGAATAATTTCACAGGGAGTTTAGTCCTCTTACTAACTTTCAACCAAGTATGTTTTTCAACAATAATTACGCCAGTTACTTTTTGGATAGCTGCAAATGATGGATTCTGGCTTTAATGGCATATAGGATCATTTGCAATTATCCCAAAAGTAACCTACCGAATTATTATCAAAATGCTTACTTGGATTAAAGATTGTACTCGTACTAAACACCTCGTGAAATTATTCCGTCTGGCTTGCTGTCATTTAGAAGAAATCAAGAAATGTAGGTGATTTCCAACGATCAGTCAACTGACAGATTTTTGGAAATAGAGTGCTGTAGACAAAATAGTGTTTCATTATCAAAAACTTTTTTCAGTGGTTCCTTGAAAAGTGTAATATCCACTGAGCTGAAATTTCAACAGGTTAGGTTTTGAACATTCTTCTGTGGATTTTGAGTGGTGTTATTATTTGTAACTCACAAATGCATGAAAAGCAAATGTTCCTATATCAAGGGGCGGATCCAGAACACAATTTTTTTTTTGAGGGGGGGCGCCAAAAAAACTTTGGTCCCCCAAAAAGTGGGTCCGAAAAGTTACGGCCTGAGGTTCGAGGCCCACTTAAGGGCCCGGAAAAAATTTTGGATTCTAGATGCTCTGTGGTGTGATCTGAGGCAATTTCTGACCACTTTTACCAATTTTTTGAGGAGAAGATGGTGTTGTACGTATAGCACCTGCCTTTATTGCAACGTCACTTGGGGGGGGAAAATGAGTTCGGGGTTTTTTTTTGGGGGGGGGGGGCATGGCCCCCATTGCCCCCCCCCCCCCCAGATCCGCCCTTGCCTATATGCCATTTTGTTGTTGGACTCTTTTGCAGTTGATCGATGCCGAGTTTGCGTTCATGGGTCCAGCGGCTTCAGACGTTGGTCACATTTTATCCAACTTCATCTTCTCCTATGCTGCGCACACTCTGTACCCCAAGGAGGAGAATTCATCCATTGACCACCTCCTTAGAGAGGCAACACAAGAAACAGGTTAGCATTGCACATATCTGTAATCATAACAGGGATATACACTGAAAGTCAGTACATGGCAGTACGCCAGTGAGCAACCCTTTCTCACAAATGTTTTCAATGAGACCATTTTGGGTTCACAATTTGAACAGAAGACCCCCAAACTGAACGGTGTCTTCCTGAAATGACATCACAGCGACAGTGCCGTCAGTTGTCCGGAATAGCATGGACATTTGTAAATGTTGAAAGAAGTGCACTTTTCAATAAAATTAACCAAAATGGGAGGTCAACTAATCTCAGAAACACTGTATACTCAGTCTTGTCCGAGGGCTCGCGAGAAAAAATTCACAAGCTTACTTGGGTGGGACTCGAACCCACGACCTCCTGCTTACTAGTGCAGACGTCTTACCCTTGGACAGTGTTTACAAATGGAATGCCAGTCCACCACAGGTTACTCCCAAGCTAATGCCAGTACCCGTTTATATGGTACTCCTGGGTTGAAAGGGGTGAGTTGGGGTTAAGTAGCATGCCTAAGGATACATTTGGTCAGTGGCAGGATTCGAACCCCTGACCCTCACCCCAAAGCCCGACCTCCAGGCCACACCCCCTCAAGAGTGTTCTTTTGAGAAATGACAAATGTCTTAGATACACAGAACGTTATATATCTTTTGTGTTTTTGTCATTCGCAGTGGACGTCTATTTTGATGAGGCAAAGGAATTTCTGAGTGAAGACGCCCTGGCTACGTTAGTGTCTCAAACAGCCGGATTTACCGGTTGTCACATTATCAAGTGGTAAGATGCTTCTCCCCCCCCCCCCAAAAAAAATGAAAATGAATAATAATTGGTATATATAAAGCACAAATTATTACCCCTGTTCATCAGGCCATGAGACCAGTTTTGTGCAGCAGCTCAAGATCAGCGGAATGGAGAGAGGCAATTGTAGTATTTTGTCTTGCCCAAGAACACAATATTGGACATTTCCCTGAATTGAAATGTTAACACTTAAAATCAGATATGGAAAAAGTTAGAAATGGAAATATGGAACAAAAGCTTAAATTTAAGCTTAAATTAAAAAATGAGAACGGCAGAAATAACAAATACGATAAAATCATTGAAAATATTTTATGCTGAAAAGAGCTTTAATATATTCGGTTTCTGTGCTGCATCGTATTACATTATAATTTATATGTATTCCCTATTGAAGCGGTAAATTTATACAGTACATGGAATAATGAATTTTTCAAAATGTCATACAAAATTTACATGTAAAGTGCCAGTTATGTATGTTTTTGTTTTGCATTTAAAGGGGCACTCTCAAGTGAAAGCGCCCAATTGGGCTCAAAAACACTTCACCATGAAATGATAATGCTTTGAAAGATCCAAAAAATAGAAGACGAACGTTCACACAACTATACTTCGGAAATGTACTGTTTTTGTGTAAATTACAGTGTGAAAGAATTTCGGGGTACAAAATTTTGGTCCCACGCAATATTTTGGATATCGATTTTTCCATTCCAAAGTTGCCGAGTCATATTTTGAATTGCGCCCTCTTGTGACACAATCCCGAAATCGGCATTCGGGATATGATTCTCATTTAGCCAATTGTCACCCATTCACGGATTTCGCCCAATTGCAAACTAACAACAAATCAGAACGCACAGGGGCGGATTTGCGGGAATTTCCAAAAATATGTCACTTGACACATCTTTGGAAATGACCTGCTTTTATTATTTGCTTCAAAATGACAGCATGCCAGAAGGAATAATAAAAATGTTTAGTGCTTAGTGTTTAGTTTAGTGTCATTACTACATGTATCTTTAAAGGGAATATACAACATTTGCAAACATCGGAAAATAAAACTACCAAGTTTTTACGAAATACCTTACTAGGATGTTGGTAAATGACAGTCTCAAGCATCTTGTAAAATTATGGCACCTGATGTGCAGTCATTTTCAAGAAAATGGTATTTTTGTAAACATTTCCAACGGTGGTCGGCCGACCAGCGTTGGAAAAACCTAACTATTTTTCAACTACTGCTCCACCTTTACACTTTTTTCGGTCCAAATTTTGTTTGCTATTGGTTGTATGTTCACTTTTTTGGTAGCTGCAAATAATCTACTCTACCTTAAAGTGACCGAGACAAACAGTTTGTGTATGTGCATTATTCTTTAATAAATTATGACTTTTTTTTACTCCTACATTTTTTAATTGAATTCAGGATCATAGGGATTGCCGAAGCTAGAGACTTGCTGGACAAACCGCAGGCTGAACTGATGTGTCTGAGTATCGGAGCGCGCTTGGTCAAAGAGTACAACATGATCAGATCTACGCAGGACCTACTACGATGCATCTTCGACACATAATATATATGGAACACCATGTATGTTCCCTCGTTTTAACTTATATTGATTCATTTGTGGGAATTTGAGGAAATCCAAATGAGGAATTTTTAAGCGCGTTTTTAAGTTTAAGTGTCTTAATTTATTTGAACGTCTGCATTCAGCCAAAATGCAGCCTCGTTTCCATGGGTACGATGTTTGTTCCCATCATGCCTTGTGCGATCTTTGTTCCCATCATGCCTTGCGCAGTCTTAACCCCTGGAATTGTGTAATTTAAATGTGGCACTAATTGGGACATTTAAATTAGGACTGCAGTCGATGTATTTAACACGCGATGCAGCGTTTAAAATTTGTTAAGTTTCTTTTGAAGAATCAATCCTTTTAAAGATTAGATTTCGACGTCGCATTATTTAGCAAGGGTATTAAATGTACCTGCCTGTCGTCCCTTTACAACACATGATACAGGTTTTTGGGGCAATACAAAGAAGGAATCCATATCGTACAGACATTGTGCAGTTTCGAAAAAGAAAATTCATATGTGACGTGACGTGCAGGAGATAGGCGCAAGCGCATATAGAGCGTGCAGTCTTCGAAATATGCGCGCAGTAGGCTTTGAATAGCCAGTCAGCGTCGTTTACATATTCCTCACGACCAGGGGTTAGTGAAGGAACGTGCACGCACCCATGGAGTCAAGGCTGGCCAGAATGCTCTGAATGATAAATTTTATGGTGAATTTTAATAAGGGGTTTTATTTTTATCTTGATATTTATTGTTTTTAACCCGTAGTTATATCGACACACATATATTCCGTGTCAAACAGGGAGTCGAAAGTGATCCCCAAAAAACTTGCAATACAGATACTTATTAATTTGTACTTATTCATTTGTACGCCACAGCAAGCAACTACATGTGTATCTCTTTAACGTTTTTAAACGAACATTTATTTATGAAATAAAGACACATTTTGAGGTCACTTATTTTATGAAATTTCTAGCATTAATGATGCACAGTATTATCTATTTAAGTGTATTATATATACAAAAAAAATTCCTTTAAATGTTAATATCAACACGTTGTGTATTAGAAAAATCAAGTTTGTTTAATTTGCCTAGTTTTTAATTGTAAAACCGAAGCATAACTTTATACTAATCATATATGAATGCAAGTTTGCAATAAATGAAATTTCAATACTTAATTTAACCCTCCGACTGATAGAAATGTCACAAATTTGTGCATTTTGTTCGTGTGAAGCAAAATAAGTGCTCAAAATCTAAAGAAGGGTGCTGAAAAACTAACCTGATGAAGTTTCAGCTCAGCTTCAGCTGTATATTTCGAGAAAAACAGCATTCTAGGATCTCGATTTCAAATCAAATGTTGCTGAAGCATGTTTTAAATTGGGCCTGTATCCAGCATCCGAGACACGTTCTCACTGAGAGGATTGCAGCTACGCGATGTCGCGCACTGATCTGATGAATTACAGCAATCACGTGTGCGTCGTGTCAACGCTTGCCCGCGCTTCGCCGAATAACAAAACGAGCTACTAATTTGAATTTCCTACGGTGCTTCTTAAGACGCACCGTTGGAAAGGCCTTCTTTCGTTGATTTCTTCAAAATGACAGCTTGCTAGAAAGAATAATTTCACAGGGAGTTTAGTCCCCTTACTATCTTTCCACCAAGTATGTTTTTCAACTATAATTACGCCAGCTACTTTTTGGATAGCTGCAAATGATGGACTCTAGCTAAACCACATAACTGTCAAAACCTGTTGAGGGGGTTTGATAGATAGGTGACCTTGAATACTGCTACAACTTTTACTGCACCTCCATAGACCTTATGCGTAGCAGCCATTGCCCTCTCATAGAGGGCGGTGCCTTTGTTTTGCTGAGATAAGCTTGAGTAAACCTTTTGTGCTTTCATTGTTACTGAATGAAATCAATCATCGCCAGGCACTCGGCAGTACTTAAACCCACCGAATCTATTACCGTCAGTCAAGGCATGGTACCTTCAGTTGACAAAACTGCCACAGACAGTCAATGGTACCAATATGAGCCCAATTTACAAAACTGTTAAAACCTGTCACCTGATGGATTTTGACAGATAGGGCATCTCTCTCCATTTGTCACTGAGAGAGGGAGTGTTTTTTTTAATGATGTCACTGAAAGTTGACAACAGGCATGTACAAGACTCAGTAACTGTCAGCATTTTGTGTGGGTTTTTTTTTGTGGTAAAGACGAAACCACAAATTATATCTCGACAGTACAGCCAAAAAATCAATTGCGTGTTTACGATAACCCGACCTGCCTGGATTTTGTGCGGTCAAGCTGCTGACCTCAAACTTGTTATTGCCACATTTGACCGAAAAATTAAAAAATAAATCATATTGTGAAGATTAAAATGTCTTCCCTGTGCAATTGTTTGTGGTATTGGTTAATTTTAACAGTTAAACAGGTTAATTAAACAGAATACTTTCAACTGGGCCATTACCATCAACCAGGCCCCTAAACGGTTTTAACCATAATTATAACTGCGGCATTAGGTCGACCTGCGACTTGCTTGCACTGCGACAGAACCATCGGTATCAAGCCAACAAAAATGCTCGGGTCACAAAACTGAGAAGTCGTGTGATTCTCGTGTAAAAAGCGGCATCTCGACACAAAGTAATCGTAACCATGCTCACGTCACCCACGACGCGACGACGATCCCGCGGCACAAACATGATCATGTGACTTCTTCAAAATGGTGGTGCGTGTGTTAATAACGATCAAACGATCTTCCATGGCCACGTCTGTTCATTCGACCATTTTTGCCGCTCACTGATTGGCTACACAATGAAATAAGATGATCCAGAGGCGCGCATAACGTTGTATTAAACGCCGCATAAGCCGGCTGCGATTGATTCCTGCCTGTCGGGACCGTGTACGATCACGGTTTAGACGTTGAAATTTTACTACTCTTGCGACTGTTGATTTTGTTTTAGCGCTGAATGATGCCGATTGTCGAATGATGCTGATCGTCGTAATATCGCAGTTTCACTCAGGTCGGCGACTGATAGTCTGATACGTTTCCAATGGTCATAGCTCAGGCGCAGCTTGATCCTGAAAAGTTCAGTCGTCCACTGTTCTGTGTCGTCGCAAGGTTGACCTGAGGGCAGCCTTAATCTATAAGCAGTAAACTACTGATGCCTTCGTTCGTTAATTATAAGCACGCACAGGAAACAACATCAGTATCACGTCACTTCTCTCCTGTTGAATTCATGTACAAGTTTAGCAAATGGAGTATTCTGTCTACCTGCGAATGGACACAATTTCTGATGCTGTGAATATTTCACTGTTGTCAGAAAAACACAGCCTCAACCTACGCGAACCAAACTCCTCTTCAAACACTGCTAGATTGTACATGTGGGATTTGACGAGTCCTAGTCCTCACAATTCCATTGCAAGTCCTCACAAGTCCTCCAAGAAGCCTCACAAATCCTCACTGGTCCTCACAAGTCTTCACACGTCCTCACAAGTTCATCACAAGTCCTCATATATCCATCACACGTCCTCACAAATCCCTCACAAATCTATCACACGTCCTCACAAATCCTCACTGGTCCTCACAAGTCTTCACACGTCCTCACAAGTTCATCACAAGTCCTCATAAATCCATCACACGTCCTCACAAATCCCTCACAAATCCACCATACGTCCTCACAAATCCATCACAAATCCATCACAAGTCCTCACAAATCCATCACAAGTCCTCACAAGTCCATCACAAGTCCTCACAAGTCCATCACAAGTCCTCACAAGTCCATCACAAGTCAAAGCACTTTTTCCCAGGAGTCTCTAAAACTTCTTCGTTTGGGCCAGCCGATTGTTCCTCCGCATGTGCATCTTTCTCAGCTTGCGCCAGTACTGCGGCGTATCCGGGGACAGCTCTTCCAACGTCGGAGGGGGCCCGATGTGAAGATCCCACAGCCATTCCGGGTAGTCCTCATCCGCCCCCAGCTTGACGTCCTGACCCTCTTTGAAGTAGTTCGACCCGGAGCAGTGGCTCACCAGGTAATCGGGGTCGGCGTTGACTTCCATCAACTCTTTGGGTTCCACTGATTTGGAACCTTTACCTGAAAATATTGAAAAATACGGAGTGATTTGTTGACAGCCTTTGTTACTGCAATTGAAAGAGGTCGACCACATATATATAGAAAGAAATTATGTCGCGATGGGCTTAGCACTAAACGATTCCATAATAAAATTTTACACAAAATTTAAATGCTACTTGATATATCGAAGAACAAGTGTTTTCAGTTTGAATTTTTGTTTCCCAAAAAATAAGAAAATTATTAAGTCAACCATTGAACATGCATCAGTTGTGAACCGAATTGTTTTCTGACCTTACCATCTTTACTTACATCTCAAAAATCCAATAAATCAAAAACGATAAAATCAAATAAAAAGTAGGAATTAAGATAATTAAAATTATACTATAGCAAGAACATTTCTACATTAAGGAAACCAAAACGATAAATAAATATATGAATAAATAAATAAATAAGAATAAATAAAGAATAAATGGGCCTAAGAATAAACAGAATACACGAAACAAAACCACCCCCGCCCCGCCCCGCCCCGCCCCGCCCCGCCCCGCCCCGCCCCCCCCCCCCAAACAAAAAAATGCATGCATTGGATTGTCATTATTGTCATGCATCATGCATGTCGCATTGAGTTAATAACAACGGTTGATTTACCTGCTTTTTTCGCATACGTTAAAGCAGAAATTTTCCACAAGTTGAGGGTTCCATCTGCACTTTGAAAAGGAAGATAATGTGAAGGAGGAATTCGATAATGAAGCGCAGACTGAAGGAACAATCTCGTGCGAAGCAAACACATCGCCTGTCTCATGGAGGCCGCCATCTTTGCTCTAGCGCCCTCTATATCAAAATTGCAGGCGCCAGAATGGACTTGTACCCAAATCATTGACACTGTAAAGAGAATATCATACCAGCGCGGGACCCGACTACTCAGATTTAGCGCACGTGTGATGGTTTTCAAAGTTCGAGATGGGTTGGAGGCCAAGAAAATGCAAGTTTACTTTTTTATTAATATTTAACACATTCAAATTGAAAATTTGTTGGGGAAAAAAACTTGAATATGTTGAAGAGCATGGGTGGAGCAGCTTTTAAGTTTCACTCTCATGAAAACTTGGGAAAAAAAACAAAACATTTTTATAAGAATTGGGGGGGCATGGGGGGGGGGGTGAGGGAGGTGTTTTGCCCTGTACTTTTAATTCATGTTTTTGATAGATTTAATGTAAATTTTTGGTATATTTCCTTTATAGCAGATATAAGCATGTCGTCAATAAGTCTGCTGACGTCATCGTTGGGGAGCTGCAACCAACGCTGTTTTGTTGGCCCCTCGGTCCTCAAACAACTTGACGTTCCAGTTGGAAGTTGGTGCATCATCAAGCAGAACGGCTACAAGAGTGTCTGCTCTTTATGGATCAGAAACGACAATCAAGATGGACCGATAGATGTCCAAGACACAGTTACTCTTTCCTGTTCAAAAACTGAACCTGGTTTCCGAAAGACTAGCATCTCTGTTGAATCTATTAAACCGGTTCCCAAACCAGCTTCGTGCTCGGAGGTTGTCGTGACTGTTATCACCGACTTCAAGTATCTGCGAAGTCTTCAGCAGGTGTCGAGGGAGGCCGTGACCAGACAACTTCGGCACCTATTGATGGGTTCCGCTGTGGCGGAAGGGTGTACGGTATCGCTACAGTCCGGTTCCCATTTTGCGGGACCGAAGATATCCCACGTTGTGGTAGAAAAATGCTGTAAGGGAACGACTAAAGTTGATGCGCCCGAAGTATTAAAACACAGTGAAGGAAAGGAACGTTTCAGAACTTCGTTGTTGGGAGAGACATCTTTAGAAGAGGAATCTTTATCTTTGTCCTCCAACTTGGAAAAGACGAATTTAACAACATCGTCGATCACCGAAGACCACCCTTCCCCAGTGTCATCCGTTGATAATGCTTTAGTCGATCTTGCCCCAAATTTGTCATTTGTAACGTGCGACAACACAAGCAGAACGGCCAGGGAATGCGCAAATGAACCAACAAATTTCGCAAAGACTACATCTTTGTCATCATCCGTGACTGAAGGCTCGGACTCAAATCTTCATTTCAAATCCAACGATTCGGAGACAGAACCTCTCAGTCAAGCACAGTCTTCCGATAGTTGCTCCGACAAAGATGTTCTGCTGATCACAGAACGAACCGAGATCGAAATCAAACACATCACAACTACGGAAACTTTGCAACATGTTTACAGTCGCGCGAGAGTAAGAGTTGGTGGGCTTGACGAAGCGAGGTCCTTGCTTCGAAAACTCATCGAGTATCCTACGGAATACCCAGAGTCGTTAGGGAAACTCGGACTCATGCAGTCGCACGGGATTCTGCTCAGGGGACCGCCGGGGTGCGGCAAGACGTCGCTCATGCAGTCTGTTGCTTCGGAATGCAAGGTTATTTTTTGTAACTGACTGATTGCCTGACTAACTGACTGACTGTCACTGTTGAATTAGACTTGGTTAAAGGCTAGGTCATTTGCATATTTATCTTTAAAAAAATCTACCAAATTATTATCAAAAAGCTTACCTGGATTAAAGATCGTACTGGTACTAAACACCCCGTGAAATTATTCCGTCTGGCTTGCTGTCATTTAGAAGAAATCAAGAAATGTAGGTGATTTCCAACGATCAGTCAATTGACTGATTTTTGGAAATACAGAGTGGTATTGACAAAATCGTGCTTCGTGATCAAAAGGTTGTGCATGGTTTTTCACTGTTTTCTCAAAAAGTGTAATATCCACTGAGCTGAAACTTCAACATGTTAGGTTTTGAACATTCTTCTTTGGATTTTGAGTGGTGTTATGATTGGAAACAAACACAATGCATCAACAACAAATGATCCTATCTGCTCCGTTCGCAAGTCCCCCCTCACCGGCAAAGAGAGTACAGTTGGGGGTGACCGACCAACGCCATCTTGCCTGACTGCAATTCATTTTCCGTCAACCAGCGAATTGTCCCGCCCATGGGACGTCGTTGCTAGGCAAAAGGGCGCCCTCTTTGTCGGCGCATGGAGCCCATATACCTTTAAGTCCTTAACTGACTGACTGTCTCTTGTAAATTAGACTGGTTACCTATTTCACAGACTATCACTGGTTAATTAGACTTGTGTAAGTCTCTCTGTTCACCAACTCCATAACGTTACTCTCTTCGTTTCTGCTTAATTTTTTCAGGTATGCCTCCTGCAAATTAACGGAGCCGAGATATTTGGCGCAAGTCCCGGAGAGAGCGAATCTAACCTACGCCAGATATTCGAGAAAGCCAAGGGAGTAAGCGAGACGCATCGCTGCGTTCTATTCATCGACGAGCTCGACGTCTTGTGCCCGAGGCGGGACGTTGCCGGCGGTAGCCACGAAGGTCGCGTTGTCGCGGAGTTGTTGATGCTCATGGATGAGGTCAGAGGTCGCGGTAAGATTCTGGTCGTCGGGGCGACGAGCAGACCGAATGCTCTGGACCCAGCACTGCGACGCCCGGGACGGTTTGACCAGGAGGTAAATTTGAAACGATTACATTTTATAAAAACAAAAGCGAGCGCACAAAAAAGCTCTGGCTGTCTTGCCTGAAAGTTGTCCTATGGAAATTATCCGTGCCAGCCGGCCGTCTTGGAAAGTCACAAAGTAAAATAATAGTGACGTTCATAAATGCAACTCTCTCCTCACCTGTATTAACCCTGGGGTCTCATAAACTGACGCAGGGCCAGAAACAGGGGTGATGGATTAGTCACAGGTGTAAGGAAGCCCTCTAACTTCCTAAGGCATAACATGCCACGTGACTGTAACATGACCACATCATCATGCTTCCATTCAAACAATTTTCATAAACACATTCATGAATTGTTACAAACAATTATTGTCAACTATTTCATGTATTTTGTTTGCTTTTTTTGGACAAATACAATTTGGTACTGACAGTTTTTTAGGTCACTTTATAGGGGTTTGTTTTTGGTCTTTTTTTGGGGAGGACAGACCGACCGACCAGCTGACCGTCCGACCCACCGACTGACCCACCGACTGACCGACACTAAAGTGACTTGTAGAAGTACCAGAGCTTAAAAATCAGTGATATCGTTCAGAATACAGGCCTTTTCATAAAAAAAGGTAAAGGGGGACGAACCTGTATTCACAGGAATGGAGTGTCCATCTCTTCTTCGAAGCGATTGGGCCAGACTCATATGCTGCTGTGGGGGAATCGCCACACCTCCTCCACAGCGAGTCTGTTACCTTCCCAGCATTGAATAATGCCGGTACCCACTTAACACCTGGGTTGAGAGGAGTAATTGAGGTAAAGCGCCTTACTCAAGGGCACAACACGCATGGCCACGGCGGGGCTCGAACCCACAACCTCTCGATCACGAATCCTGTGCTCCACTGCTAGACCACACGTGCCCACACAATGCTAATTGCAAACTTAATTTGACGTCAGAAATTATAAGTTATTAAGTTATACGCGAAAACTTGCTGTGATATCACAAAGTTGCATTTGCATTCACATATGTGTGAAGTATTTACCGCACTCTAATCAAGCGAAAACTGTCTTCCTTTTGACAAAGTTTGTAATTTCTTGTTAGGTCTTAGTCGGCATGCCCTCGACAGCACAGAGGGTTGCCATACTAGGAGCGCACTGTGAGGGTTTAAGTCTTGCCGGTGAGGTAGATCTTCGTGAGCTGGCTGAACGATGTAACGGGTTCAACGGAGCAGACTTGGCTTGCTTGTGCCAGCAGGCGGTGTTCCGTGCTTTGGAGAGATCAGTCGGAGAATCCTCGAAGCCGTTGGTAGGTGTTAAATTTTCATAGTCTTTGCTCCACCGGACTATCCAACCTGGTTCCTCCAATCAGAGTGTTTGAGAGAGAAACCTGACTTTCTGCCAGTTCTCATCCATATACCCTTGTTTTACCCATGGGCGTCAATCGGTAGGGGTTGGGGGGATCATATCGTTTGGCCCCCCCTAAATATATGATTCTATAGCTCAGAATAGCTAATTTAATGACTCCAAACTCGAAAATGATGTTTAAATGGTAATCTTTTGCTTAAAAAAATCAGTTGAATTGGTCGGAAATTACCTGAGATCGCACCACAGAGCGTCTAAAATCCAACATTTTTCAGGCCCTTAATCAGGCCCCGAACTGTTTCCCCCTCCCCACTTTGTTTGTCTTCGAATAAAAATTGTAGCGTACAAATGATTCTGTAGCTCAGAATAGCTAATTCAATGACTCCAAACTCAAAAATGATGTTTAAATGATAAATGTTTGCTAAATTAAAATGTCAGAAATTGCCTCAGGTTCCACCACAGGGCGTCTAGCATCCAACATTTTTCTGGGCCCTTAAGCTGGCCCTGAACCCCCATGCTGTTAGGGCTTCGTGCTCACATAAGGTCTAATCAAGGTATGTCACCCCCACTTTTTGAGAAGTGACTGACGCCCTTGGCTTTACCTAGATACAGAACAAAAGGATATTCCAATATATTTTTTCCAATATATTGGAATTCCTTGCCTCGTGCTTATTTCCCTCCGACCCATGATCTGTCCTGTTTCAAGAGGAATGTTAATTCCTAGCTTCAGTTTTCCTGAGTATTTGCTCCTCTTTTTATTTTTCTCTTGTAGCCCTGTACCTTGTAGCCTTGTTCAGGGCGGGGATATGCATTAAAAAAAATTAAATTAAAGAAGTGTTGCTGTCTTTTTCAATTCAAAGGAGTGTCCTGTTGTGAAGATGGACGATTTCATTGGTTCTCTGAGTCATGTGACACCGTCATTGCACCGTGCTGCAGGATCCGTTGTAAAGGAGCTACGGCCAGTGCCGTGGGAAGCCATCGGAGGACTAGAACAAGTCAAGGGACAACTAAAACAGGTGATTTGTGCTGGTCCCAGAGGGCCAGCCTAGTGTCTGTCTGTCTGTCAGTCAGGTGGTCTGTCTGTCTGTCTGTCACGTGTGACTATTAGCCTGGTTGTACTCTGGTGAAGAGAGTCGGGCAGTGCTATTGTATATGATTACCCCATAACACCAGTGAATGTGCTAAATCTGGCTCGTTGTTAAGACCCGATAAATAATTATAAAATTGAACAAAGAAATTGACTGGAGCGGGGTTTGAACCTGCAACCTCCGGATTGCCGTTCCAGTGCTCTACCAACTGCGCTATCCAGTCCTATGTTTGCGGTTCATAAATTTGTCAATGTCTTTGTTCAAGGGTGCTAGTCACAGGCCTTAAACCTGTTCCTGCCATGTAGCCAGGGATCACGCCCAAAGTCACCATGCTAGCAACACTAACGCTGGTACGGTAATCCGGAGGTCGCAGGTTCAAACCCTGTTCTAGTAAACGTCTTTGTTCATTTTTCTATATAACCATTTCCATTTCTGGTTTATTTGACAGTCGTAAATAATTTAAAATTGATTTATTTTACATCTTTCTAGGCAGTGGAATGGCCTATGACGCACTGGCAGCGCTTTGTCCATCTAGGCCTCCGTAGCCCGTCGGGCGTATTGCTCTACGGCCCGCCGGGTTGCTGTAAGACCACGCTAGCCCAGGCCGCCGCGACGGCGTGTAACGCGAGTTTCCTGGCGGTCAGCTGTGCCGAGTTGTACTCGCCGTTTGTGGGCGATTCAGAGAAAATCATCGCAGAGGTGGGTCACGCGCAAAGATGGATATATACTCCAATCCGATTTTGAAACCGATTTTGAAATTACGGTGACAGTTCTGGTAGCCATTACCGGGATGCTCCCATGCCTGAATGCCCATCACTGTATAGCTTTGAACACGTCACTAAAGGGGAGAACATTGTGTGAAATACCAGGGCAAGCCTTGGAACGTCCCAGTAACGGAGGAAAACGAGCCAAGTAATCACAAAAAGTGGGCAACTCAGATTGGTCTGTAAAAGCAGATTTTGAAGTGGGCGGTTGGATTGTTGCTTCAAATAAACTAAAACGGACAGAAAAGAAATCAGTCATTTGAAATTAATTTTTTTTTTTATCACTTGTCAGGTTTTTCGCAAGGCTCGATTGACTGCTCCATCCATAGTCTTTCTGGACGAGTTAGATTCTTTGATTGGTGGGCGGGGCATGGAAAAAGGGCGTGGCCTGTCGGAACGCCTGCTGTCATGTCTGCTTGTTGAGATGGACGGAATAGGCGTGGCTGCAGATGAAGAGATCCCAGTTGGGGGCGTGAGCGACAAAAAAACTCCGGTACTGAGAATTTCTATTTTGTCTGAGTTGAGTAGCATCATGACATTCACATGAGTTCTTTTATTATGGAATATGCAAACAAGGCAGACTTGGGATTTTTTCCCCAAGATCTTGGGTATTTGGGCCGGGCTTTGGGAAAGTTTCACCAAAGCTTGTGATTTTGTGCCTATCGGGTGGGGAGTTTGCGTATGCACAACAAATGCTTTTTGCTGCAATTTGTGAGCCCTACGTTTTGTGGAAGTCGCAAACCCCAAGGCCAGCGTTGTCACTCCTTGGGATATTTCTCCAAGATCTCAGGAATTTGGGTCAGGCCTTGGGAAAGTTTTGCCAAATCTTGGTTTTCTGTGCGTGTTGGGTGGGGAGTTTGCCCATGCCCAAAATGCTTTTTGCGACAATACACGCATAAAAACATAGGTTTGCTTTGCGCAAATGACGTCCCGTAAAAAAATTTTGGTCTTTTTCTAAAAAATGAAATTCTTAAAAATCGCTGTTTGAGCAGGTAATGTACAATTGTGGGGAAATGGTAGAAGGAACAATATGAACAACATACATTTTTTTTGGGGGGGGGGGGAATTATTGTTTTAACAGATGCTTTGAAAATACGTACTTATGTGACATTATCTACATGTGTACGTTTGATACAGGCAGAATTCAAGAAACCCAATGTTCTGGTGGTTGCCGCTAGCAACAGGATTGACCTGATAGATGCGGCATTGCTCAGACCCGGTCGCTTTGACTGTCTCATCTACGTGCCACCACCTGATAAAGAGGTAGTTTGAAATACTGGTTGATATTCTCGATAAAGACACACATTTCATAATTATTACTTTATATTTGACTATTTCAATTTAAATTTCCAGTTTGTAAGGTCAGATTGTACAGAACTATTTTCGAAATTTCACCTCGAAAAAAAAAGAAAATAGGAAAAAAAATAAATAAATAAAAGTTATGCACCTTTGATGAGACATCCAATCAAGTAATTACTTGGTGGGTTGACAGTAATTCTGTTGTGGTTTCTGCCCCACTCTAAGGTTCAATAATGTGGGGACCGGGAACCAGTCTACTCACAGGTGAAACCCAAAACAAAACCCTTTTCAGAAGAACAAACAAATAATAAGATCAGAAGAAGAGCACAAATGGGTCATCTTTAACCCTCGTAGTTGGAAGTAAATATTCAGAGCAATATGTAAATCCCTTTAAAACCCTGCAGGTCAGGCCAAGTTCAGGCAAGGACCATTGGTCGACTAGTGGTTGATTTGTGACGTACCTTACGCCTGCGCACTAATAGCAAAGTGAGAACGTCCCTAGTCGAACACTGGTCAAAATGTCATCGCAAAACTTCTGGATTTTGGCTCCCTGCTGTACGTTATGAATGTGCGCAGCTATTGGTTACCAGCGATGCATCCAGCCCCAGTAGGTTGGTTCCAAATAGTCGACTAGCGTAGTTAACCATCGTCGACTAGACAGAGTTCGGGAAAGCTTTAGTCCAACAATGGTTAACTATAGTCCTTGCGCGAACTTGCCCGCTGTTTCAGGTGAAGGGATATGAAGTGTTAAAGTAACTGTGTCACAAAGAGAGCGCTGCACCAAAAAACAGCACTGCGGAGAGCAGTGAAGCGTGACTGAATCTGCCTGCTTGCCCTGAACTTAACCACACCAAAGAATTGTGCAGGGATTTGAAGTGTTATCCATACTCCACAGAAGGAATTTGAAGTGTGGGTGCTAACTCTACGAGCAAAAGTGGTTTTGCTAAAACTTGAAGAGTTGTGAAGTGCAGAAGACCGAGTGTTAATTAAAGAGGATATGTTCGTTTGTACTACAGGCAAGGCAGAAGATATTGGAAGTTCACACCAAGCGTATGCCGCTAGCTGAAGATTTAGACTTGAACGTGTTAGCGGAAGCGACTGATATGTACACCGGAGCTGATCTGGAAGGGCTGTGTAGGGAGGTAAGATTTGAGTAATCGAGTCGATCAAATATCAGTTTGTTTCCTAGATTAAAAGATTCTATCTAGGGTTTACAGACCAGTAAATAGGCCCGAAATTGCCTACGCCGGCCAAATCATGATTCGCATGCCCTCAATTTTTTTGTTATAAGAGCATTTTGTGGGCCATGAACTTGAAGGTTTGCGAAAAAGAAGGGTGGAAGCCATATACAGAAAATGGCCCGTCAACTGATTATGGCCCGAGCTAGTTTCAAATCTCCTTGTTTAAAATCGATCAAGCACATATTTATTCCCCTTCGGTAAAAAAGTTAAACAGTCAAAAATTCACAAATGTCAAACGATTTGGTTCAAAACTTTACTTCATGTTTTGTGGAACACACCCTCTGGCCATGTTATGGTATGTGCCTCACGCGTGTAGCGCTAAACATCTCCTTATATGGAAATTGACGTACTACGCGATGCCATGTGGCACAGAACGCAGGAATTGTGTTTAAAACCAGCCGGTGTTTTATCAGTGGCTTAAAACCACCCATGTGACGGGCTCTTGACCAATATGAATTGGTAAAGGGTCTCGTGTATTTATGAACCAGTTTTTGCGAAGCGATTTGTTTGATCGTCAACAAACTCTTTGTGTTTCCTGATCGTTTCATTCAAGGCCGGGCTCCTAGCTCTTCAGGAACACGGACTGGACAATGTCGACTCGTGTCTGCTGCATCAACGACACTTTGTGACCGTGTTAGACTGGTGCCGTCCATCCCTAAATGATGAGCTGGTGGAAAGGTATCGGAAACCAGACAGCCTAAGGAAATATGAAATTGGATGACACAATGGTTTTGATTTTGCTACATTTATAAAAACATTTTTTTAAATCCACATCACTATTCTCCCGACCTATTAAGCATTTTTTTAAAAGTAGGTTTATCATTTGTCGTTTTTTTTTTCATTTGAAACATATACAGGGTGAGTTAAAAAAAACGAAACCCAAATATCTGGACCATCGTTTTATTGAAGTTCTGCGTGTAGCACTTTCAAAATCTAGTATGCAAAAGCCCAGTTCATAAACTTTCTTTTAGTAGAAGAATCATTCAAATCACTCTTGTCCTTTTTAAGTTACGGAATTTTAAACACAACCACGGTTTTAAGGTTCTGTCCACGGATCTCCAAAAAGGTGTGCATTCTTTCAGCAAAACAAAAACAATTCACACACATCCCTATGTGATTTGTTTGGTCTTGCTAAGGCAAAAAAAAAGGCTCCGGTTTCCGGTATAAAACCGGATAATATTGTACCGTTTTTAACGAATGGGGGTTGACGTCAGTAGAGTATGCATTTATTAGATCCTCAATATTTAACTTTAGTCTTAGGCCTATAATGCTACCAAATGAATAGTTAAAGGGAATATACATCATTGGCTTTTGCTGTAATTTTCAGAAATGGATGAAATTGGGGGGTTGGAAATATATAGCAAATATAGTTACACTGACTTTTTTGAGGTTTTGGGTTCGAAAATGCTATAAAAACCAAGAAAAACAATCATTTTCCTGTAGTCTGGTTCCCTGACTCCACATAAGAAGAAACAGAGCAGTTTACATACATTGGGGAATTGTAAGGTCAGGGAACCAGTCTGGCTGGCTTGTACCCGTTCATAGGTGTGTAATCGATTGCAAACAAGTGCGATGGTCAATTGGGGCCAGTATTTGAAAAAGAGCCAGTTTTTTCCAACGCTGGTCGGCCGACCAGCGTCGGAAATTGATACAAAAATACCACTTTTCTTGAAAATGACAGTATACCAGGTGCCATGATTTTACAGGATGCTTTACACTGTCATTCACTAACAGTCCAGCAAGGTATTTCAAAATGATTTGGTAGTTTTATTTTTTGATGTTTGCAAATGTTGTATTTTCCCTTTAACGTATAGTTCATTCTTGCATGGATTATTCATTCTGATTTGTTAACTCTAAATGTACCCTGCATATAACAAACATTGTACACCATTTTGTGAACAAAAACAGTGTGATAATACTTACTATAAGTCTTTAATCACAAAGCTGTTGTCTTTAAATATTGACAATCATTCAGTAATGAAAAATGTTTATAATGAAGGTTAATTAGTAAGATTGAGTTTTGTTATTAACTTGTGTTTTTTCCTCGTGCTTTTTTTATGTTTAGTATTTTTTTTCCTTTCCTGCATCAAATTTATATTTGGGAGGAATACTTGATTTTTAAAATTGCAATTATTTCAGTTTTTATATTTTGTACATGTGCTTTGATTTACTTTGCAAAATGATATGAGCACAAGCGTTGTCAATAAATTGTGAAATACTGTACAAGATTTCTGGCATGCTCAGTCTTTTTCAATTGGGTTTTAAATAGCTCTTAAAACGCTAATTTACGCGATCTGAAAACTCTTGAAGCGTTTTGTATATATCTTGAATTATATGAGCTTCCGAAAGCTACATTTGCCAGCAGGACCAAGAAATCAAACAGGTAAACTGGCCTTTCTGGCATGAAAACAAAACAAAACATTTGTTAGCCCCCCCCCCCCGAAAAAAAGAATTCCATTAAAAAAGCACGGTAGTAGCAAATGTTAGAAGGTGACGTAACATGCGAACTGTCTCCCCCTAAAAATAAATAGTCGTGAGAAGGGGGCAGTGTGCATGATTGCCTGATTTTATCAGCGCTCCTCATTAAAAATATGGTACAAACCCCCACCCCCACCCATTGATTTTTAGATGCCCGAGTGTCTTGAGAAAAAAAAACCGGTCTATTCAGCACGCCACCCTGTAACAATTTCTGGGGGGGGGGGGAGTTTGCTCAAAGCAAACGAGAGCGAAGAAGAGGATAAGAATATACACAAATGACGTTTCGCAACAAAGCGCAACTACATGTATAATTGGCGAGGTGCATCAGTCGCCCGAAATCGGAAAAGACAATGTAGCACTTCAACAAATGAAACAATTCCTTTTATGAATACAGTGCATGGAATGTCTATGTTTTAAGCGAGAAAAAGAATGTGATTAGTGAAATAGCCTAGCGGTTAAATTGCTGACCCGAGAGTGGGGAGTCGGGGGTTCGAATCCCGCTGGTGTCATTTTGGTTTTTAACGTACGCGTTCAGTCATTGACTATAAGAGATTTAATTTCCCATCGTAAATCACCAACGGTACCTTAGCTTAATCGGTAAGCTCTGCGGCTGGTACTGTCCGTGAGTTCCAGGTTGGCGCCTTCGTACAGGTTCAGGGCACGTACTGACCACTCGGGGGTCAGGGCTTAGGGTGCCGCCCTGTTCCTCCCTTAGCTCTTTGCTTTTACATGGTGCCTGGCCCTCCGGGGTTACATGGATGGACAGGGAAGGAAGTGTGTATTGGTCGGGGACGCCGAGACCCCGGAAGAGAACTAAGGGATCGGCTGGGGCATTGTTATGGCTCAGACCGATCCCTGAAAGCTTGACTAGCACATAACTTTTTGATTTTTTTTTTAATCCTCTATCTTTTATACTTTGGTTTAGTTTAATATTAAGATGAACATTGTAATATAAACATTATTAACATCTTTCAAATAACGTTTCTTTAATTGTGAACAAAATACAGTAGTTCGCAAAATATAGGGGAAAAACGCAAGAAAACAAAGCCCATCACCCTTACAACTGGAAATACAAAATGAAAAACAAAGTCAAGTGGAATACAAGAATGTACATTCACTGAACTTTTTTTTACGATCCGTGTATGGAACCTTAAAAAACGGTGGTTGTGTTTAAAATTCCTTTACTTGAAAAGTACATGAGTGATTTGAATGATTCTTGTACTAAAAGAAAGATTATGAATTGGGCTTTCATATCCTAGATATTGAACATGTTACATAAAGAACTTTTCTAAAACAATGGTCCCAACATTTGGGTTTCGGTTTTTTTACTCACCCTGTGGAATAACAATTTGTATACAGGATAAAAAGTCAACTTGTTTCTGAGATAAATTTGTATAATTAAAAAAAAATATTTATGTTTTTTCATATTTTGAATGTCACCCTCTCATGTACAATCCCTAAATCAGCACTCATTTTAAAACCAACATAGTCAAATTTTAATTAAAAAAGTGTGCCTTCAATGGTTGTCTCTTTCAAAACAATACTATTTCAAGTGGAAGAATTTCACAGGGGATTTGATACCAGTCCTATCTTCACTTTGCAATGAGCAATTTTTTTCTCTCTCTTATTAAATGGTAGATTCGTTACTTACGTTTGGTGTCTTTATGCTTTAAAAACCAAAATACATTTGAAAAATTGTGTCTATGAATAATTAATGGGTGTCCATTTTGGTTCAGCACATCTCATTAGTTAAATAAATGAAAACAGACGTTTCAACCATTTCTTATTGCGATTTGCTCCTTTTTTGTTTTTAAAAATTGGGGACATTATAAATGCATCTTCCCTGCAATTAATATTAGATTTAATATACAATTAATATTTTAGACTGATTGGACTCTAAATATTCGTCGAAACTTCATTTCAAAAAGCGCATCTGTCCAAAAATCGAATTGAAATGTGTTCTAGGGTCCTACATGCATCTTTCCAGCAAGTTTGAAGAAATTTAATTTTTTGGCCAAAATTGGGGAAAAATGCCAGGGGTTAGGCCAAAAAAAAAAAGTCTCCGGTTTCTGGTATCGAGCTTGCCCAAATAGTGGTGCGGCGACGCTGCTTTTTTTTTTTTTACCTGATTTTTTTGCTTCAAATGTCCAGAGAGGCCACATAAAGCTTATTCTCGACCATAACCCAATCTAAAAACACGTTAAAATTGAGCAGCAGCAGGATTCAAGTCAAACCAGTGAGTTTGGCGGTTTATATTGAGACATCATCTTTCATTGAAAAAAAACTTTTTCACTTTGCCGACGCGCATGGCTACGGCGACGCGCGCGCATACCAGAAACCGGAGACTTTTTTTTTTGGCCTTAGCCTTACTTTTTTGGTGAGATTTGGCCAAAAAATGACTTTTCTCAAAACGATGCAGAAATTCCTTTAGAGGTAAGAGGAGCATTAATCAACCTGCAAACACCCAATGTTTTGCAGATTTGGGCAAAAATCATGGATTATTAGAGAAAAAAATCCTCATTTTTAACCGATTTCACCCAAAATTTTCGTTCATGGATTTTTGGGGAAAAAAATCCCCCTTTTTTTTTTTTTTACCGATTTCACCCCAAATTTTCGTCCTTTCGTTGAAAAGCACATCTGTCCAGAAATCGAATTGAAATGTGTTCTAGGGTTCTATGGGCATCTTTCCAGCAAGTTTGAAGAAATTTGATTTTTCGGCCAAAATTGAAAAAATTGCAAGGGGTTAGCCTTACATTTTTAGTCAAAATCGGCCAAAAATTGACTTTTCTCAAAACAAGGCAGAAATTCATCTGGATGCAAGAGAAACATGAATCTATACTCTTACACGCATAATTCTAAAGATTTTGGCAAAGAAAAGCAATTTATTGAGGGAAAAAGTTAATTTATTGAGGAATTCTACCTTAATTTTTCGACGAAATTTCCCCATTAATAGCACATCTGTCCAGCAATCGATTTGCAATGCGTTCTAGGGCCCTTAAGACATCTTTCAAGCAACTTTCAAGAAATTTCATTTTTGGGCCAAAATTGTAAAAAATTGGAAGGGGTTAGCCTTACATTTTTAGTCAAAATCGGCCAAAAATTGACTTTTCTCAAAACAAGGCAGAAATTCATCTGGATGCAAGAGGAACATGAATCAATACTCTTACATGCATAATTTTGAAGATTTTGGCAAATATCAGCAATTTTTGGAGAAAAAAGTTAATTGATTGAGCAATTCTACCTTCATTTTTCGACGGAATATCCCCATTAATAGCACATCTGTCCAGTAATCGATTGGGAATGCGTTCAAGGGCCCTTAAGACATCTTTCTAGCAACTTTCAAGAAATTTAATTTTTTGGCCAAAATTGAAAAAAATGCAAGGGGT